AAGGCTGGTGGGAGGCCAGGCCGTGGCCGCACACCTGGCGGGTGCGGCCCATCGGGCCCGTTACTGGGAGGGCCGGCAAGTCGGGCTGCTGTTGCAGTCCGACTACCGGGACGCCATGGAGCGTATCCGGACCCTGTAAGTAAGCACTGCTCTATCTACATGTATACTTACCCCCCTCGTTATAGCGATACTTACTTGTTTCGTATCCTCTTGTCTTACCCTGCTTCCGTATTCGTGACACTAATAGTGTTTGTGTGCGCTCATGCTTGGTTTTACAGATGATGATGACGTATGTATGAAGGTCTGGAGCTAGCTGCCGTCTTCGGGATGTGCCATTTGTTTTCAAAATTATTTGCAAGTACTTGTAACAGGCGTAGTGTAGTAACTGTGTATGCAGTGTAGTAACAGTGTGTAGTGTTTTGTGATGGTCCTGAGCGGTCGTAATGTGTTTTGTGATGGTCCTGAGCGGTCGTAACGTGTTGGGCTACTGAAGTACACTGCATGAAGGGGTATGTGTGGGTGCTTCGACATATTCTCGTGCTTCCTAAACCCTAGATACGTGTATAGCACTATAACCTAGATGTGTGTGTGTGCGTGTGTGCGTGTGTGTGTCCGCGCATGCGTGCGTGTGCGTGCATTGTGTTCTCTTCTACAGACTCATCCAAGTCAATTATTTAAATAAAAGTGTATTATAGTAAACAGTATTGTGTTTTGTTATGGTGAATATGTGGGGAATGGTGGACATGCCTTAGTGTGACTGGATACCCGCGGGTTGTGACTCTTTGCTGGCCACTCTGGATTCTCCAGTATAGATTCGGTACAGTGCAGAGGGGATTTGTGGTGCGTAGCAACACTGCTTCACTGTGACACCCCTTCAATAATTGTTTTAATGCATGATACTCCGGGCGTAGCCGGTTGATTCTTACTGTATCCCGATCAAAATAGAAATATGCATCTAATGTACATGCATGGATAGTTGGCATTTCCCAAATCGGCCGGGCGAAAAATTCGCCGAAAACAGTGGTTTTGAAGAAATTACCCATCTTTTCGCCGAATGTTCAAAAATTCGCATGTTGAATTCCCCGAAAACCGATGTTTCAGTGCTTCAACAGAGTGTATGTAAATGTACATGACGTAATGGGAACGGTGACTTCAAGTACTACGTTGAGCCGAGTTCTGATCTTGGAGCTCAACGAGTGCATGGCACGTGAACTCACTTGTTTGCTGCACATCTACGAAGTGCGAATCAGGGAGTAGTATAATGACACGTGTACTAGTACACCTTGTGTTGCACTGCGTCTTTTCCACACGCATAGGACCACTGAAGGTCACACGCTCCGCGTGCGTATGCACGCATGCGCAATATGTCACTGCATGCAATGCACATCTACGATGTGCAAATCAGGGAATAGTACGTATTTTACTACTCCACGGTGCGAATGCACCGAACGTGCACAAGTGCACGTTCGCCACGGAAAAGAACCTTTATGGCACATTTATGGCATGGCAGGGGTCAAAGGTCAAACTCTGGGGGGTCCCGGGGCCAGACCCAGCACGACCAACACAGTGTGCCTTATTTGGCCCAAAGGTCAAAGGTCAAAAAGTGCACCAGAACCTGCCCCGCACTAACTACTGAGACCCTTGCAAAACCCGAACTGCCTGGACGAGAGGACGTGGTGCTTCTCAAGGGAGTTGGTTATATGCTGGTTGACAATAGCCTCGATTACCTTCGAAATAATGGGCAACAGGGACACGGAGCGGTAATTCTGGGGGAGACTCTTGGACTTCTGCTAACGGATGGGCACTACCCTCGAGATCTTCCATGATGCTGGTTGCATCTGGCTGTGGAAGCAGAGAGAGAATAGCTTGGCCAGTGGTTTGCAGAGGACATCTGCACACAACTTCAAAACCCGTGCCGGGACAGTATCCGGACCAGTGGCTTTCTCAGGATCGAGTCTGCATAGCTCTCTCCGTACTGTTGCTTGCCGAAAGTGCACCTAAGACAATGCCTGGGCTGTCCGTTGTCTGACACGGGGGAAATCCACAGAATGGTGTGTTGCAGGAAAGTCATTGCCTCCTAGGCTGCATTTGGATGCAAAGAACTGTCCAAAACACTCTGCCTTTTCCGCATTGGATATGCCCTCGTGCCCAGACTGGTCGACGAGAGTGGGGATGGCAGTATTGCGGCAACTGCCTCCTGCCTGCTTGATTGTGGACCACCAGCCCCGGTCAGATAGGTTGCCCGCAGACAGCTTGTTGCGCTGGGGGGTGAAATGCACATCTTTTGCTCGGTCAATAGCAGCAGTGCAGTGCTGAGGGGCTAGTCTGGCTGTGTGCTTCTTGCTGTCACTAGGGTCTTGCGCAGCAGCTTTCCACGCATGTTGCTTAGTCCGGACAGCGTCAGTGCATTCCGAAGACCACCATGCTGTGTCAGATGGACGTGATGACAGCTGTCGCGACGGAATAAAATTTCTTCATGCTGTCTAGTAGAACGTTTGTAAAGTTGGAGTACGACCGTTCAGGGCAGCCAGTAATCGTGCTGTCCCAATCATGGTTACGGAAGAAGTGGTTGAGCCGACCCCAGTCGGCCTGGTTGTACCTCCAGACGGTGCGGGAGGTTTTTGGTTCCTTGTATATGCATACTGGGAAGTCGGCAATGATGACGGAGTGATCTGATGCTCCCATTGGGGCAAGGCACTTGATTGGTATCTTGCCGGGGAAGTCTGACATGAGGTCAAGAGTGTTGCTGCCTCGGGTTGGTGTAGCTACATGCTGCTCAAGTCCATGAATGTAGCACATCTCCTCCGCCAGCTCTCCTGCAGGTGTGGGTTTTTTACTTCGAAGTACTGCCCAGCCAGAGCACATGGTGGACATTAAAGTCACCTGCCAGAACTAACTGTTGGCCAGAGCGCCGAGCAGTGTGTAGCTCACAGTCAATGTACTCTAGTAGCTCTGTGTCGTTTACTGCACAAGATCCCGACCTGTAGACTGCACAAATCACGACTTGAGTTCGGTTTTGTGCCGCTACGGACGCCCAGATGACTTCGTGGTGAAGACAGTTGACTTGCTGCAGGTGCTGGAGGGCCAAGTTGTCTCCAATCCAGATAGCGACACCACCGCCATTTTCATTGCGATCACGTCGGATAGGTACCGAATAGCCCGGGAGGGATGCTTCGTTATCGGTGATCTTGTCTGGTGAAAATTTAGTTTCAGTCACTATAATTACACCGGGTGTGGTCGTTGTAGCTAGGTGCCGTAGCTCTCCGAGCTTTGACTTCAATCCAAAGGCATTGGTGAACAGGACCCGGAGTTTAGGTTGCTTTGCACGTGTTGGTGCCATCATTGTGAGGACTGGTTATCCTGCTGGGGTGGCTGCGCACCATGCTGGGCAGTACGCTTTGCATCCTGTACCAGCGAATCTGGTGACCGTGCGGCAGAGGAACGTTTGTGGAGGTGGAGGGGGGGGGGTACAGGTGTGCCGGCAGCGTCAGCGGACAGGCCATGACTCGCGCTCAGGAATTCGTTAATCGTGGCGCCAATCCCAAGTTGCTCTTGCTCTTGATAATGCTGCTGTGCTTCCAGCTGGTTAGTGCTACTGTCGCTACTGCTGCTGCGGCGACTGCTGGTGCTGCTGCGGCAACTGCTGGTGCTGCTGCTGGAGTTGTTGTTGTTGCTGCTGTTGTTGTTCTTGTTGTGGCTGCTGCTCTTGTTGCTGTTGACTGCATTCACATTTGTGGAGGTGTGGAATCTCCACGGCCTGCAGTAGAGTGGCCTTGGCAAGAAATTGGCTGACGTCACTGTCAGCTTGGAGGTGGCATCAACTGATATCCTGGCGGACACTTGCCCGTTTCCGGCTGTGTGTAGGCTGCATTGGTGGGCTTTGACAATTGTCCCGATGCGTTCCGACCTGCGTGCGGTGTACAAACTCAGTGAGGCTGTCCACCGTACAGTCGTGGCTCAAGTTGCCCACAAAGAACACCGATCGCTTCTTTCTTGGCGGGCCCGCCGCAACTAATTTCCAACTGTCATCATTGATGACGGCCATGATAGGTTGGCTCTTCTCACAGCTTGATTGCACAGACTCAGGATCGAACAAGCTGGGGTCGTCCGTACGGGTACGGGTTCCGTGCTGTGCAGAGCCAGAGGCCACGTCGATCTGCCCTGACTGTTTTCCATCATCTGCATCGGCTGGGTCGAGCTGGTTTGGTGCTGGGTCAAGCTGGGGAGCACGGTTACGAGGTTTCGTACGGGTGCGAGATTTTTCGCCTTGGGAGATTTGTCGGGAACATTGGCGGATTTCTGCAGGGAACAAAATTCCTCATGTAGGGCTAAGAGCTGCGTGGAGAGATCATCCACACGCTGATGGAGACGACCCTCACGATCCCTCGACTCGCTGACTGGATTGTGTGTGTGTGTGTGTGTGTGTGTGAGAGAGAGAGAGAGAGAGAGAGAGAGAGAGAGAGAGAGAGAGAGAGAGAGAGAGAGAGAGAGAGAGAGAGAGAGAGAGAGAGAGAGAGAGAGAGAGAGAGAGAGAGAGAGGGATAGAGAGAGAGAGAGAGAGAGAGAGAGAGAGAGAGGGAGGGAGGGAGGGAGGGAGGGAGAGAGGGAGGGAGGGGGAGGGAAGGAGGGAGGGAGGCACGGTTTCGTATGCAAGCCAGTCCACACGGATTATCCGTGCCGAAAAATCGTATGAAGCACGCCTGAAAAAATCCGTAGTGCCCATACGGATTTTGGCACTGAAAATCGTACCCCGGAACCTCTCTATTGACACTATACTAATGTACTTCCTGACCCCACTATAAACTCATGCGCCAAGAGCCCTCATCATTGGTTTGAAATGGTGGTTACATTGAACAACCTGAAAGCAACTAGCGTTCGTTCAGATTAATAATAGTGCATGTCCAGCTGTGTGACAATACTGGAATCTCTGGTTCATGCATACAACTTACAAGTATGGGTGTTTTGTTGTTTTTGTTATGTGATGAATTGGTATGCTCCAGACCAGCTTGATATGTGCAGAGTTTGGTATTGAGGGCTACAAGGATCCCACTGAACTGATTGCCAACGTGTGTGGAGCAGAAGGTTCAGGGAAATCTACCTTCATTGCATCCTTCACAACAGAAGGTTTCTTAAATAAACGACTACGTAAGGAGGATCAACCAGACATGAAGGCAAAAGATTTAGCCTCGAGAACAAAGGTGAGTTGAAAGCAATGTTGAATGCACACAGCATTACATCGGATAGAGTGTGATTTGGATGAATGTATTGTTAGTCCAAATTACTACCACCCCACCAACACAGTGTTTGGTACACAACTAATATACCACCATGTATAGACTGGGATGGAGAGGCAATGATTAATTTATAGTAAAGAAATAGGACCAAGGAACTACAAGTTGCGCTATAATGTACTTGGTCCGCCCAGTTACAATTGGCGCTTATCTTCACACGTGTTTCAGGAAGGAAATACGAATATATTATTTGAAGCAAGCCACGATCACAAAGTACTATGTACATGATTATTTACATATCAGTAAGCAACTCAGTCGAAAATTCAAGCAAGTTACATATCCTCCTCACCACTATCGTCGCTGGAGGAAGAGCTCAAAAATTTCGATCCGGACAGCTGCTGCACGTTTCATAGCTTGTTCCACTTCTCCTCGTCTCGAATCTCGCTCAAGGGCAGTGCATGCCTGTCACCTTGCCGATCAGAAGCTGAGTGAGACTGCCCGCATGTTGGCTGGTAGTGTTATCCCCGTTTGTCGCAATAATGCGACTTTGTTTGAGACAAAGAGGCAACGCCATATCAGTGACTTTTTTTCAAATCGCATCTTACGCTTGTCGTACTTGCTCATCAGCACCCACGCGAGCCGCGGGTGCTTGTACATGCAGCGCAGTGATAGCTTCTGCTTGATGTAGCACCTGTACTGTGCGTACTGCACCTACATGATTGTAAGTCCTAACGCCGGCCGTGCACCAGACTTTTCGGCTAGTTTCCTGAAAGTCCTTTGCACGAGTGTTTCCCTCAGGACTTGGTACTTATTTTGATTAGCTCCTTTGCCCTGTCCTCTGTGAGCTTCAAAATGTGTCTGCCGGATTGGTCTCACTTTCTGGATATGTCTACATGAGCTGCAGTTTCTTCGTCAGCGATTTGCTGGTGATAGTCCTTCACTAGGCGCTGTACTGTGCAAGCACTGAAATTCAAGGTCGCGAAGCGCTTTTTCAGCTTTTCTATACCTCTCCGGGGTAAACAATCCTTGCCATCAGACAGCTGGAAGTAGACAGAAATTGTATTCTCCATCACTCTGAAATGCGAACATCCTGACCTATTTTACGGACTCGAGCGGAGGTTGCAGTGTTTTCTTGCGCTGACGGAAGTGTTCGTCGGCGGTAGCTCCGTCAAAAAGACTCAAACGAACCGATCGCAACTTCTGTAATGGTTTGTGCTGCCATGTCATCGGATGCAATGGTCAATGGTTATGTTCGGATGGTGAATCGGTGGTTCCATGCCGTGTGACACAGTCAGATGACCGAAAAACCAAGTGAGAAGATAAGCGCCAATTTTAACTTGACGGACCATGTATGTCCACTAACATCACCAGTTACTTGACAATCAGCTCATGCGATAACATTGCACAAAACTGACGACGGTCCTGACGTTCTACAACTACCTAGCTATCAGCTCTAGCACGTCTTGGGTGCGCACTCCAACAGCCTTCCAACTTGAAAGGTTCTAAGTTATACGAAAACATAGGAATGGTCTTGCCAGTATCGTCATCGACATGCATGAACATCCACCAACGTCCTTCACAGCAGAGACTTTCAGCTTGTGCTTGTCTTGGTTGCGTTCACCTTCCCCCATCCTTTGTTTTCATACAACTTAGAACCTTCCAAGGTGGAAGGCTGTTGGAGTGCGCACCCAAGACGTGCTAGAGCTGATGGTCAGTTACTAAGTAGTTGTAGAACGTCAGTACTGTCGGTCAGTGTCGTGCAATCTTATCATTTGAGTTGGTTGTCAAATAACTGGTGATGTTTGTGGACATTATAGCATAACTTGCAGTTCCTTGGTCCTTTTCTTTACTACAAATAGCACGTCACGCGAAATTACGCATCTATGAGCGACATCCACAAAACCTGCTGGGAGAGTATGCGTGTACTCGAGTCTCCTCCTGAGGACGTTTTTCTTCTTTTTTCAGCTCCAGTATAGCTGTATTTTTCATTGCAAAGCCGTCCTCGATTGTTGTGTTCGTTGTTCAAACGAAGTGGACATTCAATCAAGAAGGCAGAGGACGTAGGAGCCTGATTGGAATTGCTCGTGGCTGAGGACGGCCACACAGAGAGTCAGAGACACTTTGCGATTTTCTGAATACAAAATACCGTACGCACGATGCAGAGCTCAATTTGTGCGATATGAAAATTGTTTGTGATCCACCACATTGAGCAGAACGCGATCCAAACACAAGCTTATCGACGGTTAGGCTGCCGACCTGACTGGACAAGTGATCCCTGGCTTCACCAGACGCCAGAAGTCGGAAACCATGTCCTTTGCTGCGACGTCCATCTCCAAAAAGAACTCCATCTTCGTCGTGAAAAGGCTTGAAATACTCAATATTCAACGGAGATTTGCGGTCTCACGCTTTCTCAGATCGAATCGTTTTTTGTTGTTGTAGCAGTTGCAGGGCAGATCCCGCCACTACTTCAAAAGGGTTTCGCTTCACAGCATGCCTGGAACAAGCCATATCGAGGTTGCAAGCTACCCCTCCCAGCAAGAAATTCGAAATGTCAATGGTGGAAGGTATACTTTGAACAGAACTTCAAAAGGTATGGTTCGCGGCGCGATCGTTCTACCTACGTCATTCAAACTTTGCAGGATGGTTCTGACCTACAGTCCATTCAGAAAAGGTTGATATCCTAGCTTTTGGCCATAAACGGGTCAAATTTTGAGTTTTCGTCTTTTTTTGGCAATCCCCCATGGAATGCTCTTCCAATTGTGTTTTTGAAGTCTATTTCTCCAAAAAGCAAGCCATAACAAGAATAGGATTTCGGCCAGGTTTTGCCCCCAAAGCACTGAATTGGGTAATAACAAAATCCAGGCCGTTTACTCCACTTGCATAACAGTACATTTGCGGTTCGAACCCCAGTTGAGGTGCCTTTTTAGACCCTTTTTCAAGTTTCGAATCGCGCGGCACTGTTGTTGTTGTTGTTGTTGTTGTTGTTGTTGTTGTTGTTGTTGTTGTTGTTGTTGTTGTTGTTGTTTATTTTACTTCGCAGATTCTAACGGGCAAGTTGCCCAATAACAAGAAAGCGAAGGCAAAGAAAATAATACTAATAAAAGAAATAACCGGGGGCAGCAGAAAATGAATAATAGCTTTGAGAGCTCAGATGGTGAGCCAAGGAACAAATTTCCATGTTACAAATAATCGCTTTTAAAAGTAAAAAGAAAATAGCGGGTGGTACCGCAGACTTCCTATTCTGAATTCCCTGAACGAAGCAGAGACATTAGCTGGGTACATGTCACTATTACACAGTAGCAAGAGAGCTACCTCGGTCGACATCGGTGGACGTGGACTACGAGTGGATGCGACATACGAGTGGATGTGACAGCAACAGTGACTGGAATAATGGGTGATACGTTTCATGGAGCGAGCGTATGTGGGATGACTGACATCTTGAACACACTGCGTTGGGGGATGGTGCGGATGTCGCTGGGTAGTGCGTTCCACAGCTTGGGAGCGGCAACAGAGAACCTAGCCTGACCAGCGCGGCTTGCGGCTGGTGGTATGTGCGCTCCGATGTCCTTCTGCAAGCGGGTACGCCGATCTGGTGACCTTGAAATCAGTCCACAGAGCCGGTTCCCCGCAATGCCGTGGATGCATCGCCAGGTGAGCAATAGCGCCTTTTGCTTGTGCAGCTCTGAGATTCGGTAGAGTTCCACCCGTTGGAGCAGAGGTTGAGCAGAGTCGTATGGCCGAGCGCCAAAAACTGCGCGAACCGCTTTGTTCTCCAGCGTCTGGAGATCCGTTGCTTGCTGGGCAGTTAGACAGAACAAGAAACAACTTGATGCGTAGGTCAGATCCGGCATCACCACGGACTTCAAGTAGGTGACTCGGGCTGCCAGGCTCAAGCATCTCCGAGTCCGCCAGAGGGCACCTACTTTGCGGGACACCTTTGCTGTAATGGCTTTCAGGTGTTGCTGAAAGTTCAGCCCCTCGTCAATGATGACGCCAAGGTACTTCGCGCTGGTGACTGTTGGCAGAGCTTGGCTGCGACAGAGGACTGTTACCCGGGGTCCAGCGTCTCTACCAGGAAAGACTGTGAGAACTTGACTCTTCTTCTCATTCAGAATCAGTCCTCGCTCTTCCAGCCATGCAGCCAAGGAGGAGACTGCGGTAGAGAGCGTACTGGCAACAGCCTGAGTCGTGTCAGCGCTACAATATACTGCGACGTCATCGGCGAACTGGATCGTGGCTGCGGATTGGGCTACTTGAGGAACATCTCTTGTGTACACGTTAAAGAGCAACGGGCCGAGCACCGATCCCTGGGGCACACCGCAGCTGCAAGAGGTGATTGTGCTGCTGCTGGCCCCGAAACAAACTCGCTGTGTCCGCTCACTGAGGTAGCTGATGAGCCAGCGAAGGGGTCTGCCTGTCACTCCTAAAGCAAACAGGTCCTGAATGAGACGCTCATGACTGACTTTGTCAAATGCCTTGGAGAGATCGAGAAAGCACACTCCCGATACCTGGCGTCGATCGCGGGCCTCCAGGAGCGTGTCCGTCAGGACAACCAATGCATCTTCTGTTGAGTAGCCATGCCGGTACGCAAACTGCGTGTCAGGCAGCGCATGAACACGGGAAAGCTGACCTTGTAACTGGTTTTGTACAATCCGCTCGAGGATTTTCGGAATAATGGGTTGTAGAGATACTGGTCTATAATTCCCAGGGGAAGCAGGATCTCCCGATTTGAAGAGGGGGCGAACCTCTGCTAGCTTGAAGGCCCGAGGAACGATACCCGATTTCAGGGACATGTTGAAAAGTTGGGTGAGGCTTGGTGCGATGATGTCGGCAGTGGCGAGCAGCAACGATCCTGGGACCCCGTCACTACCGGTTGCTTTTCTGGCGTCGACTTTACGGAGCAGTTCGTAAACGGAACCTGCATCAGTCCCTCGAAAATCCGAAAGGACTTCCCCTCTCAATGGCCCCTGAGGTTCTGCCAATATGGGAGGTCTATTGGCGTCGGTCACAACTTGATGGAACGTATTGCCGACCTCTTCAACGTCGCATGTAGGATCCGGTTGTGCTCGGGTACGGCCTGTAAGGCTGTTGATGAGCTGCCAGAGCTTACGAGGGTTTGCAGATGCAGATTGACATGTCTGATGAAAATACGAGTTTCGTTTGCGCCGAATCGCGTTAGATGCCTGCGTCCGAGCCAGTTTGAATGCACTGTGAAGTGCCATATCTTCGGGGTTCCGGAGCCAGCGCGTGTGCAGCCTATTCCGTGTCCTGATGAGTTGATACGTCTCACGGTCGGACCATGGAGGTAGAGGCTTGCGGCGCGGTGGTACAGTCTTCATTGGAGCATACCTGTCCAGGACAGTCATAAAGCGCGAGTGCCAATCATGCCACGTATCATCCACGCTTGACGACTGTGGAAGGGAAGGGAAATGCTGAAGTTCTTGCTCCAGAGCGATTCTGAACTCAGGGATACTTATATTCCGAATCCGCCTGGCCTGCTTCGATTGAGTCTCTGCACGAGGAACTGAAATGTTCAGGTTGGCGAGCACAGCGCTGTGATCACTGATCAGACAAGGTATCACCCTGCAGCTGGATACCATCTTCTTGTCCGTGAGGACAAGGTCAATAAGGGTGCCTTTCGGCGTACTTGGAGTGATGCGCGTCACTGCATCCACGCAGTTGGTTAAGTCGAACGTGCAGCACAGGCTCTGTAGATGGGTTCGCTGATGATTGGGGTGATTAGCGGACAAGTCCACATTGAAATCCCCCAACACCGTTAAATACGTGGCTGAAGAGCCAGCACTATGCATGGCACTTTCTAAATCAGTCCAAAACTCCACGGATGTGTCAGGGGGCCTGTAGGCGCAGCCGACACGGTGATGCTGTCGATGTATCTGTACGTCAACCCACACCAGCTCTAAGCCGCTTACGCTTAGATCTGGGCGTGGTTTGATTGGCAGGGTGGATTTGTAATAGATACATGTGCCGCCACCTCGCCTGCCGCTGTGATCGGTCCTTGTGAGGCTGTATCCAGGAAAAGCTACTTCTCCGTCACCAATAGTGCTATCCAGCCAGGTTTCGGCCAATCCAAAAATATCAAAGTCCTGCACCTGGAGGAGTGCCGTTACTTCATCTACTTTGTAGCGCAAGCTACAGACATTCAAAAAACCTAGTTTAAGCGTTCGGGTATCCTGGGTGCTCACCGGAAAACTGATGGTGGCAGCTCGTGGAGAAAATACCTGAGCGTGTGGATTTAAAGACGATATAGCAGTGAAAAGTAGTAATTAGTAAGAAAAAGAACAATCATGACGAGGACTAGCATAGAATCGAGATTACAAGCAGAAGTTTACCGGTTATTGGCTTCCTCGCCGACTCCTCACACGTTGGGCAAGGCGGTGCATCTCTTTTGCAGATGCCTCATTTGCCCATGCGACTTGGGGGTCGAATGCCAGGACTCTTGCGCAGAATGTGTGCTTGCCTGATGCGCGGATGAATCCTTCGTCATCAGGTGAAGAGTGACACCCCTTCCCACGAGAGAGCGGAAATGCCGGCACTCCACGTGTAGCCTCTTCTGCTGGCAGGGTTGTTGGCGTGGCGACTGGTACAGAATAAGCTGCCTGCCGTACAGGTATCTTAGAGACCTTTGGTGGTCGCTTGTCGCAGTGCTGCTGCTGCTGCTGCTGCTGTTGTTGTTGGTTCGAGCCCTCTAGTGTGGTTGAACCTTTTGGTGGACATGGGCAGTTGCTATCGGTTGCTTCGCCTGTTATCGCAGCTCCTGGATTTGGTTCAGCGCCAGTGGGTTCTTGTACATGAACGAGTACATCCGGACTGTCATCCGCCATACGGTCCGCAGCCTGGCCCTGTACGACAGTGGAGTACGAAGTGTGATGCGTACGTGTACGTGCAGCATTTGGGCGTGCAGGACAGTCACGTGCTTGGTGGCCAGATACACCACAGCGAAAGCACGTCTGTATCTGGTCGCGGTGATGTATACGGTACGACCTTTTCTGAATGCTTAGCTTGCAGGGTACACCTTTCTTCAGGACCACTAGCACCCGTCGTACCCCCGTGAGAATTTTGAATTTCTCAACGGTGACAAATTCGCAATCAATATTGCCGACAATTTCGCCAAATTCCCCCAAAGCCGACTCTATGTGGCCCAGATGCAATGCGGGTTCGCAACCATAAATGTAAACACGGGTAGCGGATACTGTGCCATCTCCCGGTAGCATGTCAATGCTCTTACCCTCCAACTGCAGATTTGCTGCGACGAGCTTGTCCCTGGTGGCGAAATCACGCAGGGTCAGAACACAAGACCCGGGCCGGCCGTGCAGGTCGATCTGGAGGACATCTCCAAGCGAGAGACTGCAGGCTTGAATTGCCTTTGCTACGTCCAGATGCTTCACAGTCTTTGGACACTGGAAATGGACAGCTGGCCTGTCCATGTCAGAGCGCTCAATTTGCCTACCACTCGGTATTTAGAAAAAAAGATGTCTGCACAGTGTACCACAAAATCGCCAAACACGGGAGCTCTCCAGAGCCAGCGCTCAACCTTTTCTGAATGGACTGTACACGGTAGGCATGGAACCACAGGGTTTGATGTCATAGCTGACATTCAAAGTCACACGCACAGCACATTCGTGTGCACAGATACTTAATCAGTGGACGTCGTCATCTTCTTCCCGCTGGTCTCAAATGTACGATGACGTGCTATTTCGCCTGACGCCTTGTGACCAGAACAATAATACACGTAGAAGTACAATACAGCATGACAATAGTGGGCCACAACCAGCTAAAACATGTCTTAGAGTGAAATTTTTCAAATTTTGTTTTCTCCAGAAAACAGTTCTTGGGGCCTAACTTGACCTCTTGAAGGTGATACAGGGCAGAAAAGTAGTCTACAAGTGCCCCAAACACCGCTTTCAAAATATGTACTTTGAAATAGAAAATGACAGTTTTCGCACAGTCTGACACAAAGAGACAAACTATTACTTAGTGGCTTTTGTGGCGGAGCACAATACAACGGAACTAAGATGTTGACACAGACTTGAGCATGTCAACGACACGGCATGGCCCAAGTTCTTCCTTGAAAGGAACACGATGCTCTGGGCGGCGTTGCACTTGCATACTCTTTCGATTCTGGCAGTAACACTTTCGATGCTCGCCTGCGTTTCCGAGACTGCGTCAGACGACTCATGAGAGCTGAACGTAAGTAACGTCGTAAGGCAGCCGGTTCGTCGCCTAATGATTATGTACTAGCCCACAACTTGTGCCTCTTCGCTACTGGAGACGACGGGGACGATTCAGCTTCGCTGTCGACATCAACATCACTGAGATCCCAACAAATTGTCAGCGTCGCTCTGCAGACCCGCCGCCACGGACTTGCAGGCAACTGAACAAACCTGGGCCATGCACAGCGATCGTCTGGCCCTGCGAGCTGCTCTAGTATCACTAGATGCGGACAATGTCAGTCTTTTCTCGCCAGCTACTTGAACTAGACCGCCAAACAAGTGTTTGAACAAAATTTGAGAAGATGATCGCCACATCATGAATGAAGTGCAGAGTGAACGCGCTCCAAAAACATTTTTTTCATTTCGTCATTTCCCAACTTTTTTACGAAACCCCAAAGACATGCTTTAGCTGATCGCAGCCCATATATTGTAATGCCGTATTATACTTCTATGTGTATTATCTACACATAGCATTACTATACTGTTACTGTAGACCACTATTATGTTAGTGAGATGGGTGTAATTCACACAGTGTTCACTTTCTCACGGCATATTTTCATTTTTCAATTTTTTTTCCATGTAGGGAATTGAAGAAACCATGTGGAAGCAATCGCAGGTGAACGTGCGTTTTCGCAACTTTGCAGGCCACGACCATTATTCTGCGTCACACGACTTTTTTGCTGTTGCCATGACAACACCATCTGTTGCCACGATCGTGGTGGATGGCACAGAGTCGGTTGAAGAGATCACGAAACGTGTCAGTGCAACTGCTGCTAGTTATGCGTGTAGACAATCAACATCTGATGATGGTGAGTGGATAACAATGTACTACAGCCGTGTCCAAAGAAATCCCATCTGCAAGTCAAAAGTAGCCGCGTCGTTCTGTTTCAATCACATAATGTATTCAACTCGGATACTGAGCCAACGAGAGAGCTTGGAAGCTCAGGGCCCTACGCTATGCTTTTTTTGGCTTGATGACCTAGACAAAAAAAGCATAGGGATGTTATAAATTCTTATAAGTTTCTGCTTTTTGTTTTTAGACATAACCTGGGATTCGAACCCGCACTATCGCCCTGCATGCATCCCCCCCCCCCCCCCCGATACACTTCGCATACATACTAATTCTTCCAAGTTGCTTCACGTTATGATCTTGTATTTGAAAGCCCTATTTGAATATGCATTGTGGCCAGCCGTCTTTGATTGTACGGTATGGTACGGAATAGGTACGGGATAGGTACAGGACATGTACAGGACAGGTACGGGACAGGTACGGTCGATGGGAATACGACACCGTCTACCGCCTTGATGATGGCAAAAAAAGAAAAGAGATGTTATAATTTTTTTAATTCTCCTATTTTTCAGGCATTACCTGGGATTCGAACCCGCACTATCGCCCTACATGCATTCCCCCATACACTTCGCATTCATACTTATTCTTCCAAGTAACTTCACGTTATGATCTTGCGTTTGAAAGCCCTATTTGAATATTGCGGCCAGCTGTATGTGGCCAGCTGTGTTTGATGGTACGGTACGGTACGGGACAGATACGGGATAGCGCCAGGCGTGACGCAAACACACAAACAAACCCCAAATTAAAGCTGTGTGGACCCTGGCTAGCTCCAGACGTTACTGAAGTAACGACTTCTGCATAGCTACGGGAATAAATATAATTAAAATAGAAGAAATCACATGGAAACGAGTTATGAAGCAACTATCCACGACTGTTACAAGATAATAAGCAGTGGGAGGTGTGATGACTGCGTATTATCTTGTTACAGTCGTGGATAGTTGCTTCATAACTCGTTTCCATGTGATTTCTTCTATTTTTATTACACAATGTATTGTCCAGCCCTCTATGTCAGATATAATAGCCAATCTTTGAGCAGGCATCATGCACAAAACTGATTGGGTAGGTGGCGGTGAGAAGAAGAGTTCTGTGCCAGAATGTAGAGTGTGTTTTTGGAATTTGTTTTTACCTCTTTTCTGTGCTAAGTGTTTACCTGGTGTTAGCAGCCGTCGTCAGTTCCCGTCGGGAACGGACACGGTAATTTTTTTCTTTACTTTTTTTGTGTCAGGTGGGCCATTACCATCGTATCATTCAGCCAGGAATGTGGCTGACGTCACGTCTCCACATTTACTCTACTGGACTAGTTACATTTTGATGTTAATAGTTTTGTTTGATCATCTCGACAGGGAAAAATATATTGAGTCCATTTTGTGATTTCATATGCAGGTTCTGAACTGGATGGCCAACGGCAGCAACCATTGCCACTGCAGCTGCAGTCGCAATCACACACACAACAGTCAGGCGGGCACCAGCAGAAACTAGACGTTGTGGCTATTGCTACACGTGCAGATCTGCTTACTCCGCACCAATGCGACCAAGTGGAAAGGGCCATTGTGGAAGGGATGAGATCAAGCTCACAGCGTTTGGAGCTTGCCTTTGTGAGAGTAGTCGATGCCAGAAAGTCCAACAGTTTCAGTATGAACGAGCTGAGGAGAGCATTCCTACGCTTGGTGCACAAAGTACTGGCGGTAAGATTGCAATTTTGAACGTTGTTATTCTATAACGGCGCCTACATGTAGATATTTATTGTGTTGACATACCCCCTTCATAACCCACAATAGTGTGGAACTATAGTTTTCTTTGCTACAAATATAACAGGTTCTGACTCAAACTGTATGGACTGCTCTCTGACTCAATGTCCTTTTTTTCAGTTTTCCTCAATTTTCTCATGGCCCATCTCAACAAGAAAAACCTTTGCATGAATTTCAATGAATTTCAATGAATTTGAACAAAGGTTTTGAGTATAAGCTGGTAAGTGTATTGAAGGGTGCCGTGCAGTTTGCATGTTGGCACTAGCGAATGTGCAAATGGATGCAATTGATTTTCCTAGTGCTAAGCAGTAGAGGCGACGTTTTCAAATAGGACATAGGTTGCAAACCGGAACGGACTCAATATACACTTTCTCTCTTGGTATTTTGATTAGAAAACATATGTCACAGTGAGGCTATGATGTGTTATACATGGAGCCAAAATTTCATGGCTCTGCGATGACCAGAAGCGCCACACCAAGCAGGTGAGTTTTAGACGTGTTGCTTCGCACTGCGACTTGAGTTTTACGACTTTCGAAAAATCACCAGCTTGTCGCAGGTAAACAGCGGCTCGCCTCTCGCCAATAATGCACCGCATACCAATCAAAATTAATGGAAGCACGCACAAGGCTTATTGTTACTCTGTACTGGCCGTCGTGGAGCGATAGCAATTACTTAATTTCAGACCCAGAGAGAATTTGACGTGCACTCTAAAACCTGTCCGGTTTGGAGCCACCTCTGACTTGAAGCGAAAAATTGGGCAACTTGGAGGCAATGGGTCGACACAAAGGAGTGGCTCAGTTCGATTGACTCTGGCCTCAGAGCAACTTCAACATGCCAGTTTCCTTCCACAAACATATTTCGAGTGAACAATCAACGCTGATGATCGGTTTGGGTCTATACAAATTTGGCTGTAAAGCCGTTCCGGTATCGAACCGTGGCCTCTACAATGTAGAGACAATGTCAACAGTCATGCGTGTTGTCGGTGGTGCAACCTCCCGTCCATACCCCATCAAGGCGGGAGTCCCACAAGGCAGCATCTTGGGGCCAACCATGTTTCTCATATACATTAACGACGTATCAACATGCCTTGCTGGGAACACGCAGCCGGAAGCCTATGCTGACGATATGACATTGTACACTCTTCTCCGTAACGACCTCCCCACTGCTGCTGCCTTGCTTCAGGACACCGTCAATCGTCTGTCAGACTGGGGCAAGGAATGGCGTGTAGCGTTTGAGCCGTCGAAATCCCAGGCTATGACAGTCACGCTGCAAAGAGTGCAGCTAGCCTTGCCCTCTCTCCTCTTTGGAGGCAACCCTGTGCCAGAGTCATCCACAATAAAGCTCTTGGGGGTGACTTTTGATCCGAAGCTGTCCTTCGCGGAGCACATCCGCGCAGTGTCTATACATGGCAAACAGCGCTTGGGCCTCCTGCGGCGAGCTGCGCCCTATCTCTCCCGAGAAGGCCGCCTCACGGTGTACAAGATGTTTGTACGGCCCGTTTTGGAGTATGCTCCGCTCGTCTGGATGGGAGCTGCTCCCTCCCATCTATCACGCCTAGATAGCATCCAACGCCGTGCATTGTGCATCATTGATCCCGAGACGGAGCTCCAGAGCCTCAGCCTACGGCGATACGTTGCTGCATTAACATACACTTACAAACTGCATTTCATCACCGGTCCAACTCAATTGCTAGCAGTCCTCCCACCAAGGCTTGAGCCCCGTGACGCCACTCGCACTCGAAACGATCTCCGCATGGCCGCCGGCCACAGTTACCAGCTACGAAATCCGCTACCGCGTCAAGGACCAGACACCATTCTCCGCAGCTTTCCACATTGTGCAATCCAGCTGTGGAATTCCCTGCCGCCAGCTTTTCTAGACTCCGCCCCAACTCGCAAACATCTTCAAAAGTTTAAGTGCAACGTCAACGAATACCTCCGCCGACAGGATTGGCGATGGTCCACGGACATTCTGCCTGTCGACCCACCTACATTCTAGTGCCCCGTCAACGACTCCCATTGCTACGAATGCGCTGCACAGTAGTACTAGCTGCTGCTTGCCCTTGCTTTATTTTTATTTTTGCTGACCCTTACAGCTCTATCTTTTGTTTTTGGTGCGTGTTTCTGGCCGTGATGCCGAGACCTCAGGTCGGCAGAGCCATCAATGCCCCACCATCACTGCTGTACCTCGGTGCAGCCCCTTCTCAGTAGTTGTCACGTTTGTCCTTGTCTCAGTACCATTGTCTTCTGTATTATTTATGAGTTGGGTATGTGAACATAGTAAAAAAATAAAAAAAATAAAAAAGTCAGTTCTTAAGGGGGAGGGTAAAGAAGATCTCCGAAAATCGAGATTTCCCAGCACAGGTTTACTTGTAAACTACTGTAAATTCTGTGATATTAAGTTTAACAATAATGCACACAAAATGCAAGTGCCCTGAGGCCTCTTTACATTTGATGTGTCTGTGACGTTGTTCATGCTGCCTGCAGAAGTCTCCAAGGCAACATCGCCTGGTGCAGAAGGCCGATGACTACTTGGGTGAAGTCAAGGCCTCTCTGAGCAATCCATACTGCACAAGGAAAGAGTTTGTTGCAGCATTCCAGAACGTCATTTCCCAGAAGGCCGCTTCCAGAAGACAATATTCTGTTAGGGAGCGTGTTGCGGAGAACATCAGTAACTATCTTCGGATTCTGACAGCTTATGGATATGTAAGAAACTGTGTTCTCAATATGCTGATCCAAACACGATTACTTTCGGGGTGTTGAAAAGGGGGACGGGGTGCAAAACGTACTGCAATTGGACTGTCGACAACACCCTGCATACACAACTAGCAAACATCTAAGGGCAGGCTGGTGGCCGAGGGATGGGTCAGAGGGTACGGACGAACCCCCTATTTCTGCCCACTGCCAGCTGTGAACAATTGAAAAAGTGCTCTTTTTTAGCCATGTCCATGCAGTGGTGGAAAGTGACATTCGACATTATTATGTATTTTTATGTATGAGGAGTGCTGCCGAGCCAAAATGGATCATTATGAGACCATCAAATCTAGAAAATAATTGTTTGACATTGGCTTACTGGTCTTGCGAGTGCTGGTGTACTGTTAAACAGCTAGAGGTGATGCCATTACTTCATTAGTTGAAATGCTTTTGTAAAGCAATTTACTGGCAAAAGGCGAAACCCACGACTCGACTCTGTGTGTGTGTGTGCCTGTGTGTGTTTTGTCTGTGTCTCTTTGTCTGTGCGTCTATCTGTCTGTCTGCCTGTCGTGTCGGTCTGTTCGCCTGTCTATCTATCTGTATTTACGTGTGTATGTGGGATGACTATGGTTTCTGCTAAAGATCATCACATTCCCCGAGCTGGATGATCTGGTGGTTCATGACCGTCGCTGGCTCCTGCAGGACGTGATTGGGTTCATGTACTCTTCCAACGTCTTCCCCCTCCGACCTGATGGCATTGTCAGGGAATACAAGATAAGTGAAGAGGAGCTCGTCCGTTCTCTGACGGCCTTCGCCAAAGACGGTGAAAAGGCAACACTCTGCGTGCGCATGGCCTTGCAGCTTGGCTTGAGCATCCGCTCTCAGAAAGATATCATTGCTCTCTCCCTGCTTCCTGAGTGCACACAGCCATTGAAGATGCACAGAGCCTTCATGACCTCACAAGTGATGGTTGGCTCTGTCCACACCTGCAATGGCAATGACACAGCAACACCTACGGTCTCTGTTGCAGAAACAGTGCCGTCCACAGTAGTCGCTACGGCAGAAACCACAGCAGCCACTACAGCAGCAGTCGCAGCCACAATGACCCGAACGGCAACAGCCTTGGGCACAGTCGCAACTAGAGAGTCATCGACATCAGAAACATGCCAAGCGGCCGTGACAGGAAGCCCAGGTACGTGAAGAACCATTTCTAGCTCGCGATTACTACATCAACACCCTACAAATCTACTCTGCATCGATCATTCACTTCTCCCTACACCCGCACGTTTCGGTTATTTTCCGCTTTTCATTACCACATCTGGTTGTCTCTAGCTGTTGACCTTATCCTACAACGGGTTCCAACGGTTGATTGTCACCTGCAACACCAACTTGTGAAATGTTAACAGCTAGAGAGGTGCCAGCTCCATGTTCTACTTCAGGGCCATCTACAAACTGTCAGTTACTGATTGGATTACCAAGATTACAAACACTACAAGGAATGGACATGTTATAGACGGTGGTCTGAACGTTTCATTCTCACACTATGGCATGAAACGCTATCCTGACATGTTCTTCAAAATAACTGCATGATCAGCTTCAAGGCAAAGGGAATAACAACCTCATTCAAGAATGAATTGTGCAGCCATTGGGCTAACCTTTTTGGCACAACCAAGCCCTGAACTTTTCCCTGCCATTCTCTAACTTGTAGTTTTAACATTACAGTAAAATCTGGTTTAGACGACCACCCCACGGTGCAAGCAAAAGCGGTAGTTAAAGCCAGGTGGTCTTTAGAACCAGGTCCCACGGTGTCTGTGTGCAACTGCATGGAAAAACTGTCGTTAGGAGAAGGTGGTCGCTAAACCAAGAGGTCGATTACACCAGGTTTTACTTTATAACTACATATGTCACAATGTTTCATACCTATCAGATTCTTTTCTTCACTTTATCTCTTCCTGTTAATGCCAAAGCTGAGGCAGCAGCAGTCACAGCAGCACCTCCCGTCACTGTGGCAGATGCAGTGACGCCCACAGTAGCTGCTACGGCAGAAGTCACAGCAGCCGCTACAGCAACAGTCACGGACACAATGATGCAAATGGAAACCGCCATGGGCACAGTCGCAGCTAGAGAGTCAACCACATCAGAAACATGCCAAGCGGCCGTAACAGGAAGCACAGGTATGTGGAGAACCATTTCCAGTATGTGATAACCACACCAAAACCCTCCACCTGGGATTTGGCCGTTTACAATCAATCTCGACCTTCATCCTCACTTTGTCGAGTTTTCGGCTTTTCCTATCGACAATCTCTTTATTCCAGCAGTTGACGTAATCTTTAAAATTGGTTCCATCTTTTCCATCAAACTGCAACACCAACTTGCGAAATTCTGAAAGCTACAGGAGTGCAATCTCCATGTTTTATTTCAGGGCCATCTACAAACTGTCAGTTACTGATTGGACTTTAAAGATTACAAGCAATACAAGGAAAGAACATGTTTGAGACGGTGGTCTGAAAGTTTCATACGCACACTATGGCATGAAACGCTATCCTGACATGTTCTTCAAAATAACTGCATGGTCAGCTTCAATGCAAAGGGAATGACAACCTCATTCAAGAATAGAGTCTACAACCGTTGGGCTAACCTTTTGGGCACATCCAAGCCCTGAATTGCTCCCTGCCATTCTTTAACCTGAAATTCTAACATTATAACTACATATGTCACAAGTTTTCTTACCTATCATAATCTCTTCTTCACTTTATCTCTTCCTGTTTATGCCAAAGCTGAGGCAGCAGCAGCCATAGCAGCACCTGCCGTCCCTGTGGCAGATACCGTGACGGCCACAGTAGCCGCTACGGCAGAAGTCACAGCAGCTGCTACAGGAACAGTCGCAGACACAATGATGCAAACGGCAACGGCCATGGACACAGTCACAGCTAGAGATTCTTCCACGTCAGAAACATGCCAAGCGGCCGTAACAGAAAGCACAGGTATGTGAAGAATCATTTCTAGCATTATAATTACCACCAGCAAACACTTCCACTGGGCTTTACCCTTTTACAATCCATCGGTTCCAACGGTTGATTGACTGCCGCAACACCAACTTGTGAAATGCTAAAAGCTAGACGAGTGAAATCTCCATGTTCTGGTTTGGGATCATCTACAAACTGTCAGTTACTGATTGAACTACAAAGTTTAGTACAAGCACTCCAGGAAAGGACATGTTAGAGACGGTGGTCTGAATGTTTCATTCACACACTATGGCATGAAACTCTATCCTGACATGTTCTTCAAAATAGCTGCATGGCCAGCTAATATGCAAAGGGGTTAACAAGCTCATTTAAGAATAGAATTTACAGCCGTAGGGCTAACCTTTTGGGCACAACCAAGCCCTGATTTGCTCCCTGCCATTCTCTAACCTGTAATTTTAATAAACGGCGAGGAGACAACAATTTGATAACCGCAATCAGTAATACAAGCTGGATCGACATTTGTGTACACTGTATTCATGTATTGTAAAACTGTGGAGACAATGTGCAATAAAACGATGAAAAATGTGAAGAAATTGTGTAGAGAAAGAAAGGGATTCAAACAAGTTTTCGTACAACACTCATCAGGAATCGTCGTTGTACTAAAGGACACTGAAACAAAAATTGAACTATTCTAGAAAATCTAAGTTAGAGAAATAACACTAAGAGCAACAACAGTGAAATTTACAAGTGTGAATTTTAACAATCAAAGCGAGAAATGAACAAAGGAGAAAGGAAGGAAAGACAACGTGATAACACATAACAGCAGTACATTACACCTAGAACATTAACGGCCAAGCTTGGCCGCACTAAACACGACACGTTACTTGAACAATTTCAACCCAATTATACTATCTTTCTGTACACACAAATTAGGCTTGTACAGACGCTGATAGATAGCTTCCAACACTTTTAACTGTAGTCCATAACCATGACGACCACAGCACAATACAGTGAACGAAGAGTCGGAATACGCACCGCAACAATCAGGACTAGCCAACAGATGATTGTACACTGAAGACTTGCTACCACGAAACCTACGCACAACACTAACACTCTCACCGGCACTCTCACCATCACTCCCATCACTGCTCTCCGACCCACTGCTCTCTCCGCCGTCCGTTCCATCCTCCGCTTCCTCTGTACTCTCTCTGTCTCGTCCATCCCGCCTGACCGGGTCAATTGAACTCAACTCGGCCGTCCCCCTGCTATCACGTCCCTCCTTTCGCCCTTGTCCGCTGAGTGCGTAGCTTCTGTTGTAGTTGGCTGTTGATCGTCTTGGTCTTTCAATTATGGGCTTGGATGGTGGATTAGTTGTGGTTGCTGTAGATTGCGTTGTTGGTGTTGGTGTGGGAGTTACTGATATGCAAGGTGGGTCTTTTTGAGTCGGCATTTGTAGTGGTAATGCAGCTGTCAGTGTTGCTCGCGGTCTGCCACTCGCGGCTCCACCGCCGCAAGAACCGATGGCGGAGGATCAGGAGGAGGCAGTGGGACCGGGACCGCAAGCGGCACCGCCTCAGCCAAAGCCGCCGGGGGCACTGACGAGGGAACCACCGATGGCCGGAGCAAAGGCTGCGACACAAGCCGACCCGATGAGCCACCACGCCCATTCTCCTCCACCACCGCCACCAACGACGGCGGAGCAAGCACAGTCTGAGAGCCAGGATCCGCGGGTTGTGTAGGCAACGGCTGTGTGGTTAATGGTTGTTTTCTAGGTTGTTTTTTGATAGAAGCTATCTATCAGCGTCTGTACAAGCCTAATTTGTGTGTACAGAAAGATAGTATAATTGGGTTGAAATTGTTCAAGTAACGTGTCGTGTTTAGTGCGGCCAAGCTTGGCCGTTAATGTTCCAGGTGTAACGTACTGCTGTTATGTGTTATCACGTTGTCTTTCCTTCCTTTCTCCTTTGTTCATTTCTCGCTTTGATTGTTAAAATCCACACTTGTAAATTTCACTGTTGTTGCTCTTAGTGTTATTTCTCTAACTTAGATTTTCTATAATAGTTCAATTTTTGTTTCAGTGTCCTTTAGTACACTGACGATTCCTGATGAGTGTTGTACGAAAACTTGTTTGAATCCCTTTTTTTCGCTACACAATTTCTTCACATTTTTCATCGTGTTATTGCACATTGTCTCCACAGTTTTACAATACATGAATACAGTGTACACAAATGTCGATCCAGCTTGTAATTTTAATATTATTACTACATAATGTCACAATCTTGCATACCTATCTGATTCTGTTCTTTCTTTATCTCTTCCTGTTAATGCCAAAGCTGAAGCAGCAGCAGCCACAGCCACACCTGCAGTCTCTATGGCAGATACAGTGACGTCCACAGTAGCCACTATGGCAGAAGTCACAGAAGCCGCTAGAGGAACAGTTGCAGACACAATGATGCAAACGGCAATGGCCATGGGCACAGTCGCAACTAGAGAGTCATCCTCATCAGAAACATGCCAAGCGGCCGTAACAGGAAGCACAGGTATGTGAAGAACCATTTCTAGCATTATGATTACCACCAGCAAACACTTCAACTGGGCTTTACCCTTTTACAATCCATCGGTTCCAACGGTTGATTGACAGCCGCAACATGAACTTACAAAATGCTGAAAGCTAGAGGAGTGCAATCTTCATGTTCTGGTTCAGGGCCATCTACAAACTGACAGTTACTGATTGAAATACCAAGATTACAAACACTATAAGGAATGGACATGTTAGAGACGGTGGTCTGAAAGTTTCATATGCACACTGCGGCATGAAACGCTATCCCGACATGTTCTTCAAAATAACTGCATGGTCAGCTTCACTGCAAAGGAAATATCAACTTCATTGAAGAATAGAGTCTACAACCGTTGGGTTTACCTTTTGGGCACAACCAAGCTTTGAAAAGTTCCCTGCCATTTTTTAACCTGTAATTTTAACTTTATAACTACATATGTCACATATTTCATACCTATCAAATTATAATATAGCTATGAATAGGATGAAGGCCGCAGCCATCACGCAACTACGTTACTTGTTTGACATGTATTACTGTGTATTTTATAACAAAAATATTATTGAAAACCCAGAATCGATTTTCTCGATCCTATCATCAGTGGGAAAAACGGAACTAAGGGTACAACCAAAGAAACTGAAGTTAAGTACTGTAAATAGAAAGGTGTTAGAAATAACATTAAGCTACAAGTGCAATAAAACCACTAGAGGAAACGCAAAAAAATAATTATGTTCTTCATTTTCATCTCTTCCTGTTTATGCCAAAGCTGAGGCAGCAGCAGCCAAAGCAACACCTACTGTCTATGTGGCAGATACAATGGCGGCCACAGTAGCCGCTACGGCAGAAGTCACAGAAGCCGCTAGAGGAACAGTTGCAGACACAATGATGCAAACAGCAACAGCCATGGGCACACGCGCAGGTAGCGCGTCATCCACATCAGAAATATGCCAAGCGGTCGTAGCAGGAAGCACAGGTATGTGAAGAATCATTTCTAGCATTATGATTACCACCAGCAAACCATTCACCTGGGATTTACCCTTTTAACTTCCATCTCAATCTTCATCCTCACTTTGTCGAGTTGTAGGCTTTTCCTCTCGACAATATCTTTGCTTTAGCAGTTGATTTAATTTTTTAAATAAGTTCCATCTATTGAATTGACACCCTTAACACCAACTTGTGAAATGCTAAAAGCTAGACGAGTGCAATCTCAATGTTCTGGTTTGGGACCATCTACAAACTGTCAGGTACTGATTGGACTACAAAAATTACAAGCGCTACAAGGAAAGGACATGTTAGAGACCGTGGTCTGAAAATTGCATACGCACACTTTGGCATGAAACGCTATCCTGACATGTTCGTCAAAATATCTGCATGGTCAGCTTTAATGCAAAGGGAATAACATCCTCATTAAAAATAGAGTCCACAACCATTGGGTTGACCTTTTGGCACAACCAAGCCTTGAAATATTCCCTGCCATTCTCCAACCTGTAGTTTTAATGACATTAAAACCTGGTTTAAGCAACCACCCCACGGTGCGAGCAAAAGCGGTCGTTATAGACAGATGGTCTTTAGAACCAGGTCCCACAGTGTCTGTGTAGAACTGACAGTGCATGGAAAAACAGTCGTTAGGAGAAGGTGGTCGCTAAACCCAGAGGTCGCTTACACCAGGTTTTACTATATTACTACATATGTCACAATGTTTCATACCTATCTGATTCTCTTCTTCATTTTATCTCTTGCTGTTAATGCCAAAGCTGAGGCAGCAGCAGTCAAAGCAGCACCTCCCGTCACTGTGGCAGATACATTGTCGCACACAGTAGCCGCTGCAGCAGAAGTCACAGCAGCTGCTACGGCAACAGTCACCAACACAAAGATGCAAACGGCAACAGCCATGGACACAGTCGCAGCTAGAGATTCTTCCACATCGGAAACATGCCAAGCGGCCGTAACAGGAAGCACAGGTATGTGAAGAACACTATCTAGCAATATGATTACCACCAGCAAACATCTTCATTGGGCTTTACCCATTTCCAATCCTTCTCGACCTTCGTCCTCACTTTGTCGAGTTTTCCGCTCTTCCTCTCGACAATCGCTTTACTCCAGCTGTTGACCTTATCTTTAAAGTTAGTTCCATCCTATTAAATTGTCGTCTGCAACACCAACTTGTGAAATGCTGAAAGCTAGAGGAGTGCAATCTCTATGTTCTAGTTTAGGGCTATCTACAAACTGTCACTTAGTGATTGCACTACAAAGATTGGAAGCACTGCACGGAAAAGACATGTTAGAGATGGTGATCTGAAAGTTGCATAGGCACACGATGGCATGCAATGCTATCCTGACATAGCTTCGAAATAACTGCTTGGTCAGCTTCACTGCAAAGGGAATAACAACCTCATTTTATGTATAGAGTCTACAACCATTGGGTTAATCTTTTTTTGCAGAACCAAACCCGAAACTATTCCCTGCCATTCTCTAACCTGTAGAACTGTCGGTGCATGGAAAAACAGTCACTAGGAGCAGTATATCGCTAAACCCAGAGGTCGCTTACACCAGGTTTTACTATATTACTACATTTTTTACAATAGTTCATACCTATCAGATTCTCTTCTTCACTTTATCTCTTCCTGTTAATGCCAAAGCTGAGGCAGCAGCAGCCACAGCAACACCTACGGTCTCTGTGGCAGATAGAGTGTCGTCCACAGTAGCCGCTACGGCAGAAGTCACAGCAGCCGCTACAGGAACAGTTACAGACACAATGATACAAATGGCAACACCCATGGACACAGTCGCAGCTAGAGAGTCATCCACATCAGAAACATGCCAAGCAGCCGTAACAGGAAGCACAGGTATGTGAAGAACCATTTCTAGCTTTATGATTACCACCAGGAAACATTTCTACTGGGCTTCTCCCTTTTACAATCCATCGGTTCCAATGGTTGAGTGACTGCCGCAACACCAACTTGTGAAATGCTGAAAGCTAGAAGAGTGCAATCTCCATGTTCTGGTTTGATGGCATCTATAAACTGTCAGTTACTGATTGAACTTCAAAGATTACAAGCACTACGATGAAAGGACATGTTAGAGACAGTGGTCTGAAAGTTTCATACATACACTATTGCATGAACGCTATCCTGATATAGCTTCAAAATATCTGCATCATCAGCTTCTATGCAAGGGGACAGACAGGGCACCTTCCCTTTCTATGGTATTTCTAACATAGAACCTTCCAAGTGGAAAGGATGTTAGAGTGTGCATCCGAGACGTGCTAGAGCTCATTGACAGTTTCGTGTTGAACATCAGTACCTTTTAGTCAGTGGCGTGCAATGTTGTCGCATGAGCTGATTGTAAAGTAACTGTTGGTGTTAGTGGACATTACAGCAAAACGTGTAGCTCCTTGTTCCTCATCATTTTTTTTAAATCTATAGGTTGAGTTTACGTGAAGTGTGTGGGTTAGCGTGAGGGTTAGAGTGAAGTGTGTGGGTTAGAGTGAAGTGTGTGGGTTAGAGTGAGGGTTAGAGTGAAAGGTTTGGGTTAGAGTGCAGTGTGAGGGTTACCTTGAGGGCTGCGTCCATCAGCCTGTGTGGATTTGCAGGAAGTATTAATTTCGAAGTCTGAAGAAAATGTTGAACAGTCACTACCTGGATGACAGCTACACCATAGCTTAGTGGTAGAGCTTCGCTGACCATAAGCAAGGTTCCCTGGTTCAAGTCCTGGTGGCGACAGTCAACTTTTCTTTAGAATTTCCCTGTTTGCATCTTTCGCTCAAACTAATCAAAACTAAATTTTTCGGTATTTCTTCTTCATTATGTCCCAGGACGGGCGGAAGCAGTGTTTGATTCGTCCGACCATAGCACAGCGGCTCATGCTTTACGCATGACATGGCGAGTACGCATCGCTCCCTCAGCAGGCAACAGGCGCTGGCGGCCAAAGATTGGGTCCAGATATGGCCGGACCAACCAGATCGGTTCCGCAACCCCTGTTTCTCTTCTTGTTTTAACTGGAGCAGAGGCAGAAGCTGTCACAGCAGCACTTACAGTCCCTGTGGCAGATACTGTGACACATGCAGCAGCCGCTACGACCACAATTGCAGACAACGCGGGGCACACAGCAGCCGCTATGGCAGAAGTCACAGCAGCCGCTACAGCAACAGTCGCAGACACAATGATGCAAATGGCAACAGCCATGGACACAGTCGCAGCTAGAGAGTCATCCACATCAGAAACATGCCAAGTGGCCGTAACAGGAATCACAGGTATGTGAAGAATCATTTTTAGGATGTGATTACTACAGCCACCCAAACCATTGACCTGGAATTTACCCTTTTAACGTCCATCTCGACCTTTTTTGCTTTTACCTCCACTTCCATTTTCCTCCAGCTGTTGATCTTATCTTTCATATCGCCTGAACTATCCACCGCTCCACAATGCACTCTTAACCCACATGCAGACCCCCAAAGTTAGGAAGTTTTTTCCGTATCCTTGGGGCAGCTGTTTCCCACATGGAGAGCTCCTCGGTGGAGGTAGAAAACGAATGGATAGCATATATATAAATAGTGAAAGAATGAGCATATTAGTATGGAGACGTGGAGAGGGGGATAGTTCAAATTATTTTCATATAGCCGCGTTTTTTCTTTCATTCGCACACTATGGCAAGAAACGTTATCCTGACATGTTCTGCAAAATAACTACATGGCCAGCTAATATGCAAAGGGGTTAACAACCTCATTTAACCCTTTGTGTACGGACTGTAAAACTTTCGATCGCCTGGAATCGAAACTTTTCAAGATTTCAATCGATCGTAACTCAGTCGTTTCTGGGTTATTTTCAAAAACTACGATATGTAGGTCGAAGAGAAAACTCCAAACTGTCCATTGAAGCAATCACTGAAGCGCTCCGATGTGCGGGTCTGGGAATGTGTGTGTGTGTGTGTGTGTGTGTGTGCATGTGCGTGTGTGTGTGCGTGCGCACGTGAGTGTGTGCGTGTGAGTGTGTGCGTCTGTGTGCGTGAGCGTGTGTGTGTGTGTGTGTCCATTGTTCTTATCACCTGACGATGGCCAAGTGCCGAAACGTTGTAAAATAACGGAACTTGTTCGGATGTGCAGCGCTATGGAAATGGGTGTGTCCACTCAAATTCCTTTCCATGTATTATCGGTGTTGTGCAATTCCATTTTTATTTGTTTCTTGACATGTAGTTGTGTGTAGTTGTGTGTTCATGTTTTATCTGTGCCTTCTGTATTTTGCTGCTTTCGCAACAGACAATCCGTTTCATCTGGTTAGGTTTGTGTGTGACATTCAACCATGGTTGAACGAAGTTGACGCAGATCGACTGCGACAGATGGTGATCAAGAAACATCTCATAACTGACAGCGCATCAATAGAGAGACTAAAGAGAATTCGGTCCCGGGATGGACAATCTGCTCATAATAAGGAGCTCATCCAGTTGCTCAGAGCTGGTGGCCTAAAGACTTATCGTGATCTCGGTGTTGTCATTGAGGAACTTGGGTATGTGGACAGGAGCAAGGACATGCTCTCCATTTTGTCCCACACAGGTATGTTGTTGCTATACTTTTACTGCAATGTGTTCAACTTTGGTGGTGTTTAATGGACAGCTGAGAGTTTTCCCTTCGACGTACATATTTTAGTTTTTGGTAATACCCCAGTAATGACTGAGTTCCGATCGATTGAAATTTTGAAAAGTTTCAATTCCAGGGGATCGAAAGTTGTACAGTCCGTACACAAAGGGTTAAGAAGAGAGTTTACAGAAACAGGGCTAACCTTTTGGGCACAACCAAGCCCTGAATTGCTTCCTGCCATTTTCTAGCCTGTAATTTTAACATCATAAGGCGAGACCAAAATAAAATCCAGATTCCCGGGCAGGACCCATGTGAAATTGGTGCGGGCGGGCGAATTTTATTTTTTATTTTTTTCCCATGTATGTACATGACTATATGTGTGCATGCCATGTTGAACTTTTTTACGGCATTTCCGGTGATTTTCATTCAATATCTTTTACAGACAACAGGTACGCGGTTTACCCGTTCAATTTTTCTATATTTTGGCCAACGATGGCCCTGATCTGTACATCAGGGAGTCGACCTAGTCGTACAAGCTCGGGTTTGTGTGACTCCATGTCACAGATCTACTCACACGATCAGTACTGTACATGCATGAACTTTTTTTTTTTAATTAAAAAAATCGGCTTCGGCTTGATTTTGGTGTGGGAGGGCCCGGGAATCTCTATTTTTTTGGTCTCACCTAACTACATTTGTCACAATCTTTCATACCTATCTGATTCTGTTCTTCACTTTATCTCTTCCTGTTTATGCCAAAGCTGATGCAGCAGCAGCCACAGCAACACCTGCAGTCTCTATGGCAGATACAGTGACGTCCACAGTAGCCGCTGTGGCAGATACTGTGACCCATACAGCAGCCGCTACGACCACACTCACAGACAACGTGGCGCACACAGTACCCGCAATGGCAGGAGTCACAGCAGCCGCTACAGGAACAGTCGCAGACACAATGATGCAAATGGCAACAGCCATGGGCACAGTCGCAGCTAGAGAGTCATCCACCTCAGAAACATGCCAAGCGGCCGTAACAGGAAGCACAGGTATGTGAAGAACCATTTCTAGCATTTGACTACCACACCCAAATCCTTCGCCTTGGCTTTACCCTTTCAACCTCAATCTCGACCTTCATCCCCACTTTGTCGAGTTTTCCGTTTTATCTCTCAACAATAGCTTTGCTTCAGCAGTTGATTTGATTTAACCTTTAATGAGTTCCATAGTTTTAATTGTCACCTGCAACACCAACTTTTGAAATGCTGAAAGCTGGAGGAGTACAATCTCCATGTTCTGGTTCAGGGCCATCTACAAATTTCAGTTACTGATTGGACTACTTGTACAAAGATTACAAACACTACAAGGAAAGGACATGTTAGAGACGGTGGTCTGAAAATTTCATACGCACACTGCGGCATGAAACGCTATCCTGACATGTTCTTCAAAATAACTGCATGGTCAGCTTATACGCAAAGGGATTACAAGCCTCATTTAAGAATAGAGTTTACAGCCACAGGGCTAACCTTTTGGGCACAACCAAGCCCTGAATTGTTCCCTGCAATTCTCTAACCTGTAATTTTAATATTATAACTACATATGTCACAATCTTTCATACCTATCTGATTCTGTTCTTCACTTTATCCCTTCCTCTTAATACCAAAGCTGAGGCAGCAGCAGCAACACCTACGGTCTCGGTGGCAGATACAGCGTCGCCCACAGTAGCCGCTACGGCAGAAGTCACAGCAGCCGCTACAGCAACAGTCGCAGACACAGTGACACAAACGGCAACAGCCATGGGCACAGTCGCAACTAGAGAGTCATCCACATCAGAAACATGCCAAGTGGCCGTAACAGGAAGCACAGGTATGTGAAGAATCATTTCTAGCATTATGATTACCACAAGCAAACAATTCAGCTCGGCTGTACCCTTTTACAATCCATCGGTTCCAACGGTGGATTGTCTGCCGCAACACCAACTTTTGAAATTCTGAAAGCTAGAAGAGTGCAATCTCCATGTCCTGGTTTGGGGCCATCTACAAACTGTCAGTTACTGATTGAACTACAAAGATTACAAACTTTACAATAAAATGACATGTTACAGACAGTGGTCTGAAACTTGCATACACACGCTGTGGCATGAACGCGATCCTGACATAGCTTCACAATAACTACTTCATCAGCTTCTACGCAAGGGGACACATAGGGCACCTTCCCTTTCTATGTTATTTCTAACTTAGAACCTTCCAAGCTGGAAGGATGTTAGAGTGTGCATCCGAGACGTGCTAGAGCTCATTGACAGTTTCGTGTTGAACATCAGTACCTTTTATTCCGTGGCGGGCAATGTTATCGCATGAGCTGATTCTAAAGTAACTGGTGGTGTTAGTGGACAATACCGCATAACTTGTAGTTCCTTGCTCCTCATCATTTTTTTAAAATGTATAGGTTGAGTTTACGTGAAGTGTGTGGGTTAGCGTGAGGGTTAGAGTGAAGGGTTTGGGTTAGAGTGCAGTGTGAGGGGTACCTTGAGGGCTGCGTCCATCAGCCTGTGTGGATTTGCAGGAAATATTAGCTTCGAAGTCTTAAGAAAATGTTGAACAGTCACTACCTGGATGACAGCTACACCATAGCTTAGTGGTAGAGCTTCGCTGACCATAAGCAAGGTCCCTGGTTCAAGTCCTGGTGGCGACAGTCAACTTTTCTTTAGAATTTCCCTGTTTGCATCTTTCGCTCAAACTAATCAAAACTAAATATTTCGTTATTTTTTCTTCATTTTGTCTCAGGACGGGCAGAAGCAGTGTTTGATTCGTCCGACCATACCACAGCGGCTCATGCTTTACGCATGACATGGCGGGTACGCATCGCTCCCTCAGCAGGCAACAGGCGCTGGCGGCCAAAGATTGGGTCCAGATATGGCCGGACCAACCAGATCGGTTTTGCAACCCCTGTTTCTCTTCTTGTTTTAACTGGAGCAGAGGCAGAAGCTGTCACAGCAGCACTTACAGTCCCTGTGGCAGATACTGTGTCACACGCAGCAGCCGCTACGACCACACGCGCAGACAACGTGGCGCCCACTGTAGCCGCTACGGCAGAGGTCACAGCAGCCGCTACAGCAACAGTCGCAGACACAATGATGCAAACAGCAGCAGCCATGGGCACAGTCGCAACTAGAGAGTCATCCACATCAGAAACATGCCAAGCGACCGTAACAGGAAGCACAGGTATGTGAAGAATCATTTCTAGCATGTGATTACTGCAGTCACCCAAACCATTGACCTGGGATTTACCCTTTTAACGTCCATCTCGACCTTTTTTGCTTTTACCTCCACTTCCATTTTCCTCCAGCTGTTGATCTTATCTTTTATATCGCTTGAATTATCCACCGCTCCACAATGCACTCTTCGCCGACATCCAGACCACCAAAGTGAGGAAGTTTGTTCTTGGATAGATGTTCCGTATCCTTGGGGGCAGCTGTTTCCCACGTTGAGAGCTCCTCATTGGAGGTAGATATCGAATGAATAGCATATAAAGGAATGAGCATATCAATAGGGAGACGTGGAGAGGTGGATAGTTATAATTATATTCAAATGGCCGAGTTTCTTCTCCATTTATTAATTGACATCTACAACAGCAACTTGTGATATGCTGTAAGCTTGAGGAGTGCAAACTCCATGTTCTGGTTTAGGGCCATTTACAAACTGAGATAGTTTCGAAAATAACTGCATGGTCACCTTCTATGCACGTACATCGTCATGACACTCTCCAGATGGTCCCTGGGCTACTCCAATCACTGAAAGGAAAAAAAAGGAGATAATCATTGGAATCATTTCGGGTAAGGCCCATCTTCCTGAGTGTTGTGAAGATGTATGGATATAGCGGATGGCTACAGTGGAGTCTTCACATTCTGAGAAATGTGTTTCAAAACGGTAGCTTATATGGAAAGGAAATAACAATCTGACTACATTATCCTGATGATGTACCAGACCTGAAAATTTGGTGTAATGAAAATATTAATTTTAATTTTAATCGCAGTTTTTGGAGTTTGGAGTTGAGAAGTGAAGTTTCCTAAAAGGAATAACAACCTCATTCAAGAATGGAGCCTACAACCCCGGGGCTACCCTGCTGGGCCCAACCAAGCCTTGAATTGTTACCTGCCATGCACTTTTATAACTGTATATGTAATTATAGCATTTTTTATCTAAAAATGTTTTAAATCTTTTTTCGATACCTATCAGAATCTTCTTCTTGTTTATTTTTTCTCAGGACCCGCGGAGGCAGCTGTCGATTTGCCCGGCCATACCACAGCCTTCCATGCTTTGTGCGTGGTATGGAGAGGACGCCTGACCACCTCAGCAGCCAACACTCGTTGGTGGTCAAAGAGTTGGTCTGGTGATGCCCTGGCTAACCGCATCGGTTCCGCCGCACCTGTAACTCTTCTGTTTTTAACCAATGCTGAAACAGTAGCAGCAGTCACAGCAGCACATGCAGGCTACGAGGTAGATGCAGTTGCACCCACAGCAGCCTCTACAGCAACAGTCGCAGACACAATGATGCAAGCGGCAACAGCTATGGACACAGCCGCAGCTAGAGAGTCATCCACATCAAAAACATGCCAAGCGGCCGTAACAGGAATCATAGGTATGTGAAGAATCATTTCTAGCATGTGATTACTGCAGTCACCCAAACTCTTCACCTATGCCTACTCTTTTCCTTTGCTTTTCCCATCCGCATCCACTTTTCACCAATCATTGACCTTATCTTTTAACACGATGTGTACACCGGTTGGTGTGACGCAACATGCAGCACATCCTTCCAACAACTGTACCCAACCGCTCAAAGGAGAACTTTAAAATCAGACATGCAAGAAATCAACATATCTATGTAATAAGCGATGAGGCGACAATAGTTTTAGGACTGCGATAAGCAGAACGAGCTGAACTGCCCTTTCACAAAGGCTTTATTGTGTTCAAAAACGAGTGGATACGAAGGTGGTGAAGAACTGAGAAGTAGTATGGAAGAAATGATGAAAAAGGAATCACTTCGAAAATCGAACCAGTTTTCAGACCACACTCCTTTGTAGGTACTTTTGACCTGGGTGAAGGTAGGTTGAGTTGGGTGACTCCGCTCTCTCGCGAAAGGAGAATGTCTTCTTCATTCAGGACTGGTCTAAAGAATATATCAATAGGAAGTTTCAACGTTAGAGGTATTTCTAGTCAGGTGAAGCGGGAGCAGCTTGCTCAGGATATCGCGAGGTACCGAGTCGATGTTTGTTGTCTTCAAGAAACGAAAATAGTAAATTCTTTTGATGAAACGCTGGGCAACGGAACGAGAATCATCTGCCTGCCGTCAGAGTGCAGGCATTACGGTATGGGCTTTGCCGTTAGAGGCGCCCTCAAGGACTGTATGAGCCGGTATTGGCGTATTTCTGACAGAGCGGCCGGTATTCAATTCAAATTTCCCAACAGCAAAAAATCATCGTTGACGGTCATCAACGCCTACGGTCCAACAACAGAACGGCTGCGGGCAAGCCCGGATGAACAAAGTGAGTTCTTTGACAGTTTGGCGAACGCCGTGACTGACTACGCTTCCAGTGGATTATTGTTCGTAGCTGGTGACTTCAACTCGAAGCTAGGGATACGCAAAAGTGGCGAGTCCTTTCTTGGACGCCATGGCCGCGGTCAACGAAACTTGAGTGGTGGAGTTTTTGCTAGTTTCCTTGAAGCTCACAACCTGTTCGCTGGAAACACAGCATTTCAGCACAGCGCTAGACATAAAACAACGTGGCAAGGCCCTTGCCGTGACAATTCCGGTGTTCCTGTTTACAATATGATAGATTACATCTGTTGCCGTCAGAACCAGAGTCCCCTTCTAACAGACGCAAGGTCGTATGCGGGAACATATGTATTCTCCGACCATCGCCTAGTTGTGGCGAGACTGGACATGTCGAGATTCTATGGTGTTCTGGGTATGCACCAACGCAAGACCACTGCCGGCAACATCCGCCCTGACACTGGAAAGCTTGCTTCAGATGTCGCAATTCGGGAATCCTACAAGAGAACTGTGGAGACCCAGGTCCAGTGCAGCGTGTCATCAGAAGCCAACAGCACCCAAGCAGTCTGGGAATCCTTATCTGAAGTCCTCAGCAAATCGGCACTGGATTCGGCCGGCACTCAGCAGAGACAACATCACCGCCATGACTTCTCCCCTGAAATTGAGTTGCTGTCACGCAAGCAGAAAGATCTTCGCCTGGCGATTGGAGAGTGCAGGGATGACCAGAAAAGACAGTCACTAAAAAATCAAAGAAATCGCACAATGCATGAAATTCGTGATATCGCATCTGACAATGCCAAGAGAGCCTTGGATCGTCAAGCAGAGGAAGTGGAGCAACTGCATGATAGTGGGGCAAAGATGTTCCGTGCTGTCCAGCTACTGAAGCGAAAACCGTACAGCCAGCCTATTATTCATGATGAGAAGCAGCGGGTCGTTATCAACCCTGCAGACCAGCAGGCGTTCATCATCAAACATTATGAAAGCCAATTCCATGATAAATCCCTCCCTGACATTCCACAATTCCTAGGTGATCCCAGCCCTCTCCCCAATCGAATCACATCGGCCGAAGTTAGGAGGGCCTTCCAAAGCCTGAATAACGGGAGAGCGGCAGGCCCTGACCATCTCTCCGGAGAGTTACTCAAGTACAGTCCTCCCATTGTCGCTGAGATGACTTCCGACATATTGAACCGATCTATTGAGACACATGACCCACTCGAAGTTGGCAGAGGAACCCTAATACTGCTGCAGAAGCCCGGTAAACCACTAGGGCCGCTTACTAGTACGCGCCCTATCGTACTGCTCTCGGCGTTGAGAAAGACGCTGTCCCTGATTGTGCTGAAGAGGATACAGCCAGCGGTTGATCAGTACCTGGCTACATCCCAAAGTGCTTTTCGTCGTGGCCGCAGCACAAGTGATGTGGTGTGGTGCCATAGATGGCTATGTAGTATGACACAGCGATTCAATACGTCCATCCACATATTGGGAATTGACATGAGTAAAGCATTCGACACTGTCCGCCGCGATGTCCTGATGAGGATCCTTGAATCCTTCCTCCAAGAAAGTGAGCTCCGAATGATCCGTATACTGTTGACTGAAACCTGGCTTGAACCTCGTGTGAAAGGTGCATCGAAAAGCTCCTTCAAGACAAATATCGGAGTCCCTCAAGGGGACAGTCTCTCTCCAGTGCTTTTCACCATTTACCTGGAGGCTGCTCTCCGGGACCTACGACAGGAGCTGCCATCTCGCCCTGCTGTGGACAATGACCTGCCGTTGGATATCGCATACGCGGACGATGTTGATTTTGTGAGCCGGGATGAGACGTTTCTCAGTGAAGTTGAACAACAAGCTCCAGCAGTTCTTGCGAGATGGAACCTGAACGTTAATCCCTCCAAGACAGAGCATACCACCGTCGCCCGATTTCCCGATAGGAACCAAGAAACGTGGCGTACTGTCCGCAAACTAGGCTCCCTCCTGGGTGACGCCGAAGATGCTGCTCGGAGGCGTCAACTGGCCGCCGCCGCCTTCAACTCACTCCTCAAGATCTGGACCCGGAGGCGCCAGATCAGTGAAGGTCTTCGGCTGAGGCTCTACAGCGCCTACGTCATCCCAGTCCTTACCTACAACTGCGGCACTTGGGGCCTACCGATGTCGGAGCTCGCGCGAATGGATTCGTTCCACAGGACCCAGCTAAGAAGCATCATCGACATGCGGTACCCTAAGCGAATTAGCAATGACACTCTGTATAAGCGCTGCAGAGCTGTCCCCATCAGCGAGATGATCACAAGGCAGCGCTACAGTCTCGCTGGCCATATCTTTCGTTTGGCCCCAACTGCTCCTCCACAGTTGGCAGTGGATATGTATCTTCGCCTGGCCAACGACGAGGGCACTGAACGCTTCAGGGGTCGACCTCGGACGACTTTGGTAACGGTCTTGCAGACGGAACTGTTATCATGGCATGGACTTACCCTCCACCAGCCGCTAGATGTTGACGCAGTCCGCACAATGGCAGCGGACCGACAGGCATGGCGTGGAGCCCGCCCCACCTAACAGGACTGACCAGACATGTTGTATGCATATTCTATTTTATTTTATACTTTGGATGAAGTTTTCCATTAGTTATATTGGTGTTGTTGCTAACGGCTTTTGTTGACGTCACTTCTGTCATTTTATTGTATCGTATTACTCTTCAGACATCAATCCTGAATGGCATAAGCGAAAGTGGCACCCCCGCCACCTACGCGGACATGCTTTTAATAATAATAATAATACTCCTTTGTAGGTACAGTCGAATTCGCTAATAACGACTGCGGATATAACGACAATTCGCGAATAACGACATAATTTTCATGCCCGGAGCAAAGTCCCAACCAACTGTGACACATATATGCGACTTCGGGTATAACGACACTTCGCGAATAAGGACACTTTTCTGATGCCCCGCCGAATGTCGTTATACGCAAAGTTGACTGTATATATTACTTGGTCCGACTTATTAAAATGTGCGCTTCACTTCGAAACTCAAGCATATGTACAAAGGAGCACCTGTACTAAAAAATCAACCAAGAGACGGTGGATAGATAACTACTGTGTCGTTTCTTGGCCTGGCCTTCTAGTTTTCATCGCTGCTGGTGTCTCAGGGCGCATCTGCAAGTGCGTCAACCTGCAAAACGTCGACATTTTTTTCATCTCCTCCAAGCTACACTGCGCTTCTTTGATTTTTCATTCCATAGCACGATTTAGACGATCAACTTCGCCTCCTCCTCGTGCAGTACGACTACCAGAATGGTGGCTGTAGGTGTTTTCGCCTGAAGCTCCCACGACACCTTCAAATGAGGCGAACAAGTAAACCACCATGCTTAAAAAAATCACTTCTGACCACCGTGTACCGCGCGCGTAGGTCTACTGATCATGAGTCTGATCTGTGTCGACATGTCATGCAGTCAGACCATGCGTGCTCTTCCCTGCCTGTTTCACGAATCCACCGGCCCCGGAGACTGGCGATCTTGTGACACATCGCGATCGCGGCTCCGAGGACTCCGCACCGTATCCGCCGGATAATTCACTCTTTCTGCGCTTCAGTTTTCCAGCCAGGTTGTCGCCTGAAAGTCGACCTCAAGGCCCTTTATTTATTTCGATCAACTTCTCGACGATCACTTCTGTGATCTTCATTCGTCGGCCGCCACATCGTGAACGACTGGAAGAGAGATCAGCAAACTGGACAGAGCGATGCAGGTGCTTTCTGTACGAGTTTCTGGATGACGCGTTTGCTGAAATTCTGCCAAGGAAACAGCGATTCCAGCAAATTCAATCCGCCAGGAGGCACTAGAGAACGATCGCCCAGGAGGTTCTGGTACTCCGTGACAATCCCCCATCGCAGCGGGGTGTTGATTTCAGCACCAGGCCTTCTCTGTGTTGCGCGAGAAGCAACAGGAGTTCTCTGACGACAAAATTTGGACGCAAAATTCTCGAGTCGACTAGGATCCCGAACCGCTGCCTCCGTTGGAGTTGGAGCCATTTCTTCTTCAACATCACAAATTGACAACTGAAGGATAGTGTTAGGTAGCTGTAAAGTTTATTCCGTCCTGAGATTATTTGAATTTGTTTGGTTGACGTTCGAAGCGAAACGCACATTTTAATAAGTCGGACCAGGTACATACATGTACCTACACAGGAACATCGGTGGTTAAGTAGGGATGTCTCACACTTCTTAATTCTCAACTTCAACTCTTTGCTTTCTCCTTTAGCCCTGCTTACATGCTTTATATGCGCGCACATATGCTCTCATGTAATTGGGCTTGCTTCCTGTTTGATTCTTTGAATTAAAAAATTAAGTAAACGACAACAAGAACAACGACGACGGCGGCGACGACGACGACGACAACAAGTACATACACACCAGGAACAGGTCTGGTTGAGTACCTACACAAATGAATGTAGGGCTGGTTGAGTATGTACACACATGGATGTAGGACTGGTTGAGTACCTACACAAATGGATGTAGGACTGGTTGAGTACCTACACAAATGGATGTAGGTCTGGTTGAGTACCTACACAAATGGATGTAGGTCTGGTAGAGTACCTACACAAATGGATGTAGGTCTGGTTGAGTACCTGCACAAATGGATGTAGGTCTGGTTGAGTACCTACAAAAATGGATGTAGGACTGCCCGACCTTTGGAGAAACTTGGGGATCATAACATTTTGCAAATCGATGAATTGTTGTTGTTCCTCTTTTTAATGTTTGTTTTCGACTATAGACAATCCGTTTGACACTGGAACTTTCACTAGTCGCATACTTCCAAAGTTATGCGAAATACCCTGTGCAATGTTTCGCAGGAGTGTTCAGAAGCAGGGTCTACTACACAATATGGCAGAAATCAATGAATTGATGCGCACAGAAAAGTACGAGCCAGTAGAAAACCATAATGTCAAGATCATCGGATACATCCATCCTGGAGGAGTGGATTCCTACAAAAAGCTCTGTGCAGCCATCAAAGGCCTGAAGTATGAAGTTTTGTACAGAGAGATGATCATACTGCTTCCTGCTGACCGTCAGCCTAGAGATGGTAAGTGTGAAATTGTGTGCAGCTGTTTTGTGCGTGCCTCTGTGTGTGTGTGTGTGTGTGAGAGAGAGAGAGAGAGAGAGAGAGAGAGAGAGAGAGAGAGAGAGCATGTGTGTGTATGCATGTGTGTGTATGCTTGTGTGTGGTAGGGTGTCCGTCTGTGTGTCCAGGCCTTTTCACTTCTCCAACTGTCACAGTATGGACTGGCATGGCCACCTTCCCATGATAGAGGATAAACAAACCCCCTCCAGCACAGACTGGCATGGCCACCTTGCCATGATGGAGGATAACCAAACCCCCTCCAGTCAGCTATTGTGCTGGTCAGTTCTATCTACACTTCCTGCATGTGCTCTCCTGAAACTTTGACATGAAGGGATCAGAGCGGACATTCATCATCTGAATACCATAGTAACATTAGTCTAAAGCTTGATTCATACTTCATTTCAGGTACGGGAAACGCGTCACGTCGCGAAAAAGTTGATCTGGACTCAACTATTTCGCGTACGGTAAAGCCAGCGCGCGACGGTCGCGCGATAACTTTCCCATATGCGAAATGAAGTATGAATCGGCCATAACATTGTCCAACAGTGAGGAGAGTGGTGCCACACATTTTCCGCTGCGCAACCACCACATTCACAGTCAAACATATTCACAGTCCACCACAGTCAGAGTCCGCCATCCTCACACTCACATCCATAGTCCAGCACACTCCACCATAGTCCACCATAGTCCACCATAGTCCACCACAGTCCACCATAGTCCACCACAGTCCACCATAGCTCACCATAGCTCACCATAGCTCACCATAGTCCACCATAGCTCACCACAGTCCGCCCCGCCCACCATAGCCCGGCATAGTCCACGACAGTCCGCCCCGCCCACCATAGCCCGGCATAGTCCTCCACAGTCCACCACACTCACCACAGTCCGCCACAGTCCACCACCATCCACCATAGCCCACCGCAGTCCGGCACAGTTGGCCTCCCTCCCTCTCAGTGCCCAAATATGCATGCTCATTTCTATTTTTTGTGATGCTTGCATTTAAATACTATTTTAAAACATTCATTTTTACTCAGACATTCTTTTGCCATTTCTCGGCTGCGTGTGTGCTTGCGCACGTGTGTACTGGTGTGCATTTGTGGGTGTACGTATGTGGGCGTATGTGTGTGCGGGTGTACGCGGTTATGTGCATGAGTTTGTGTGTGATAATTGGTACCCTCGTCTGTGTGTGCATATCTGCTGTACTATTGTGCAGATTGACCCACACTGGCTGCTCACAGTGCTACGAGTTTATGATGTGGATGATCATCATCGTCAGTGACAGCAGCATCACCAGTATCAGCCACAGCAGCATCACCAGTATCAGCCACAGCAGCAGCAGCAACAGCAACAACAACAGCAGCAGCAGAAGTAGCAGCAGCAACAGCAGCAACAGCAGCAACAGCAGTAGCAGCAGAAGCAGCAGCAACAGCAGCAACAGCAGTAGCAGCAGCACAAGCATACTCATGACCTAATTATCAGGTACACTACTTTGTGTGATTCCTGCTCTGGCGCAACTATGTACACACACTGTACAACTATGTACACACACTGTGCAACTATCTGCTGAGCTAGTGGTTGCGGAAGCAGGTGTTCTTGCCATTTAATAGCTCTATTGCTACCCGTTGTTATTTTTTCTTCCTGCCATTTATTTCCTTTCCTCCTATGCTCCTTACATATTCGCCTTTATGTTATTGGGCCACTACAGGTTTGATTGTACAACTATGTACTGTACACACACTGAACAAGGCAGAGGAGATTTGTTTTTTCGGTTTGGTTTTCGATACGAGAAACAATATTCGCTCATTTGTTCAGCTGCATAATATTTCTGCATAATATTTCTGCAAGATATTTCTGCATTGTTTTATTTTGTCTGGTCTCAGTAGTTGTTGCAGTTATGCTAGGGTTTACCAGGTGTTAGCGGCCGTCGTGAACGGACACGATTTACTTTTTTCACTTTTTATCATCCTAGTCAACCTGGGACAACTTCAGTAGACCATATTTGTAAGTGGATTGATCAAGATCTGCCTTCACTGTTCCGTACATTCCAAATTCTCTCGGCTGGAGATCTGTTTTTTTCTGTCTCTTTGGCGTTCAAACTGCATTTAGGGCTACGTAATGGTGTTTAAATTGGCGTGTGAGCAACACTGGCTCACACTCAAAACTATTTTTACTTCACCATAAGCACAGGCAAAATCTGCCTTCCCACTGTGTTGATGACGGTAGCACAACACAGAAGTGTCACTGCTGCCTTTTGTGGAGCACTTTTCAGAGTGTGTTTCTTTGTGTTATTTCTTGCTGTTCCCTGCTTCCTCTTCTGTCCTTTTTGCTAGCCACTGCCATAAGCCATCATCTGATTATCTTTTTTTCCTTCTCTGCGACATTAGATTTGTAGACCGTTAATTTTATGTTTCAAACTCCATGTTGTTGTCTCTCCTCTCCGGGAGTCCCCCCCCCCCCCCACACACACACTCACACCCATCATTCCCATCCCGTACCCAACCCCACGCATACACACCACACCACACCTCTACATTATCGTGCTACTGTTTTCATTGAGTAGTCTTGGTCATGCTAATTACAATAGAAATCCCCTCCTCCTCTCCCACATGTCTATTTCACCTCTCTTTACAAGTCATGCTCCCTCTAGTATTAAACTATTATTCTCGGGAGAGAGTAGTGTTTGGTTATCATATTTTTCGATCTTTTTTATTTTCCCTCTAATGAAAATGACTGTGAGTGACGATAGGGTAATTTTAAATGTTTTGCGAGAGTTGGCAGTCTCGGAGGGCCGGCTGTCAGTGATTTGGAGATGATGTTGGACAGGACACTACCCATGTATTCTCCTGGCATGTTTTTTTTGTTTTGTCACAGGTGTTATATTGTTTTGGTTTTTACATTGATTTTGTATGTCGAAACAAGGGGATTACGGATTTTTGACTCTTTCCTCTACCAAATGCCACTGTTTACACATGTATTTGTTTTCATTTTTTGGTGTTGTGTTCTAGTCATTCATCATGCCACCGTGAATTGTATTCTGTTTGCCCGTAAAAGAGGCCTGTGTTTTATTGCTTTTTGCTTGGCTTGCCTTCACTTCAATCACCATGATCCACTGATGATTGTGACAAGAAAATCGATTCTGGGAGAGGGTTTAAAAACATTCAAAAACAAATTCTTGCTATTCATGAAGTGAGCTTGCATGCTTCTTGGCCCAAGGGTATCCTGGATTTGAGTGCGAGTTTACGATGAATTGCCTTCGAGTCCCATTTCAGGTTTTCACCTCTCGATCTGTTTCCTTTGTTCCAGCTGTTCAGGCTTGCTGCTTGCAGGATCCATGCACCTGCGAGGTACACTAGCTGCATGTTTCATGATTTCTAGTGTTGGCCAAATTTGAAGGACAATAACCGGGATAGCAGGTGGTTTCAGGTTAAGCGAAAGTGTGAACTAATAATTATTAACTGGTATGAGGGAAAGAGACATTATTACTTCTTTTTGAGTTTGGCACTAGCCACAGACAGGAATTTTCTACACACGAAGCTTCGAACTTGAAGGTCTAATTTCACTCCTTAGGCTTAGCACCCCCCCCCCCCCCCCCCCCCCACCCCGAACATCCTCTCATGCACTGTGGCGGGAGACAGTGGACTCAGTGGAGTGGATCTAGGAGTGCGAGTCACAGTAACTGTCACAGTCATTCAAAGTGTCACTGTGTCACTGTGTCAGTTAGTGTCACTGTCAGTATCAGTTAGTGGCAGTTAGTGTCACTGTGTCAGTGTCAGTGTCAGTGCGACGTGCTACATTTTCCACAGCTCAAGTATTTTATTTGCATCATCTGACGAATCTTGTTTTCCAAAACATTCTTTATTGTTCTCATCCATTCAGTAAGTGATTATTGTGGCTACAAGTCATGAAGTTTCAGTTCATGATGTTATCGTGTGCGTGCTTATGGAGACATTCGCGGCAATATGCCCAGTTACACTCCGTGGCAAAAGCAGCTATATTGTATTTGAAGAGGCACTACATGTAGGCTAGGTTACTAGTACTTCCTCCGTTAACAAAAACTTCGTGATGGATTTTCGAGGGGCTGATTTGGGCAAAAACGGCAGTGAGTCGCTATCACTTTCTTGGCCTTCCCTGGCATGCCATGAAAGAGGTACGATGCAAGGAAAGCGACCTTTCACAACAAGCCGAGCGGAATCGATGGTTGCGCTGTGGAAACATAGGTGATGACAGTCATGGCGAGCGAAACTGAAATACCACTTCTTCGAGGGGATATTGCGTTGCTTGGCCTAGCGCCTCTTTACCACTTTAGCAGTAAGTTGGAGAGTGATAGAGAGCGATAAAACGGAGCAGCGAGCCCACAAAATGAGCGAGTGAACAAGGAGCTGCTCCGATCGCACGGCTCGATGAGAATAATTCTGAACTCAAGTTCTTGTTCAACCTGCGCAAAGCCCAGATTCGAATGCTGATGACCATGCTTTATTTCAGAAGTCTGCAGTCCGATGCGAGTCTCGTGGCTGAAGAAAGTCGACTGGACTTGCTAGCCGCTGCCGTTCAGTGCTGGCAGGGGTATCCATTAGAGAAAATGGAATCAGTTTGGCTGTGCCTTCACTCCTCGTTTCGCGGAGTTCTGGAGAGCGAAGGTGAAACCAGGGAGTCGTAAAATATTTTTCACGACTCCCTTGTGGAAACGAGTAATCGCCATCGCGGTGGCTCATGCGGCTTGAAAGCCAACTAACTTGAACGACGGCGACATCAAGGTCAGCGGAATGTGATCAAAGAAGCCGAGGCAAGGCTGAAACGAGCTAAACAACGACTCGAGAGAGATGACGGTTCGCGCGCAGCAGATGACGACAGCGAAGCAGGTCAAAAATGAGTCGAGCGAAAGCGACGCAAACTGAACTCTCTGCTCATTCCGCCAACAGTTTCTCTTGTAAAGACGCTGTAGATAGACTGAATCACCTTCGTCCAGTGATTTGCAGTCGATACAAACTGTTCTTGACCTGTTCTAAGCGTTTTCATATCCATCAAAATCCATCACGAAGTTTTTGTTAACGGAGGAAGTAGTAGTAGTAACCAGTTACCTGTATGCGCGTCACGTGACGTGATGTGACAGTGATAACTAAGTCGTGTCTTGTCACTGAGGAAGGAAGTACAATGTAGGTGGTAGCCAGTCAAACTCAGATGATGATGATATTAATTAGTATGCTGTGGACACCATGGCGGACATGGCAAGTACGTGATTGTAGTTACGAACATTCGCCTGCACTGATGTGAAGTAGAGCTGCGTACATGCGACGGATTACCGCCGAGTGGAGTCTGATTTCTAGCAGCTGAGATGGTGTTCATTCTTCAGAAACTTGAGCTCAAGTCACACGGTATACAATGGTATAGGTGAGTGTGCTCGTTGTAGCGAAATTATTTCAGCAAATAAATTTTAATTTGTTTCTAGTTTTGTCACTTCATTTTCATTTAGACTTTATGTGAAGGATTCTCCAAAAGTAAATGGATACTTATCGGGGGAGTTTCCTGGAAGGGTGGATGAGACGAAAGGGAAGTGAAAAGGGAGAAGGGAAAATAGTACTTAGCAGAAACACTGCTCAGGGAAAACTACAGGTAAAACCACCAGGGAGAAACAGAATACATGACGAGAGCTAGATACGAAAATCAGGAATTCCAGTGGTGGAGAATTTGTACGTTAAATTCTGGTCCTTCAGGAGAAACCGAAACTTAGCAGAAGATCGCTCCCTGAGTAGGCTCTCAGGAAGCTTGTTCCAGACAACTGATAAACCGAAAAGAGGAGACTAAAAGAAATGAGTTCCAGAACGAGGCAAAACGATAGAGGAAGGGTGGCGGCAGCTGCTGGAGATGGTGAAACTAAACTGGCTCAGTAGTGCTGGAAATTGGTAGAATACATGATGAAAATAAACTAGAGAGAGAATTTGACGACGCCATTGGAGCGATTCCCATTCACACAGATGATTCAGAACATTCTTGGATCTTGTCCTAGTAGGAAGCTGTCGGGTCTTACGCATTAGGTAGGATCGGGCAGCAGTAGCTTGTAGTCGATCCAATGTGCAGGATTGCGTAGACGACATAGCGAACAGCCAAACAGGGACAGCATACTCCAGTAAGGGTCTCACGTAACATTTATACAGTAAATTGATGGTTGGTGCGGGGAGACAACGGGTCATGTGGCATAATAGAAATACTCTACTGCGATACTTACTAGTGATTTTAGTAATATGGTCAGAGAAACTAAGGTTCGGGGAAAGGGTAATACCAAGGTGACAATGCCTGTCAGCCGTCGTAACCTCAGTGTCATCCATTTTGAAGGGGGGTGGGCAGGGAGTCACAGCATGTTTCCGAAAGGACACATGAACACACTTGCTGGTGTTAAACTTCATGGCAGTGGTTCTTGACCATTTGAGGCAATGTTCAATATCAGCTTGAAAGCTGGCACGGTGAGCGGGCTGACGTTTTAGGCGGGGAAACAAGGATTAAATTGGAGTCGTCAGCAAAAAGAGAGAGAGAGTACTGGAGACAGGGGCATCAGGAAAAGAGTTTATGCATAGATTAAAGAGGAGGGGGCCGAGATGAGACCCCTGAGGCACCTCAGCTGTGATGGGCAACGGATCAGATTGACTTTGCCCAACTCAGACACAGATATTACGGTCACTGATGAAGTCTTTAATCCAATCGCAAGCGTTTGACGAGCACCACCCGGAAACCGACTCCAGGATCAAGTTGTGGCTGACCCTGTCGAATGCCTTGGAGAAATCCAGGAAAAGCTGATCGCAAGGTGATTTCATGTCAAGAGCGCAGGAAACCGTGGTTGTAAGCTGAACAAGTTGGTCGACTGTTGACTTGGTTCTGCAGAATCCGAATTGGTTCTCACTAATAAGCTTATGTTTCTCAACAAACGAATAGAACTGGCGACTGACAATTGACTCATACACCTTAGCGATTCCATTTACCAGAGAAATTGGGCGGTAGTTGCTCGGTTCGGCTGGGCAACCTTTGCCTTTCAAGATGGGTACCACAATGGCAGATTTGCATTCGCGAGGCTGTGTTTTGGCGAGTAAACAGCGGTTGAAGAGGACTGCGCGGGATTGGGAAGTAGCTTCAGCAGTTTCTTTGAAAATTCGGTTACACAACTTACCAGCAGTAGAGCGATATGTGGACAGTCTATGTAAACTATCGAATACGGATTGGGCAGAGAAGGGCTGAATGGAAAACTTCTCGGTGGAAGTCGGTAGCAAGATGGCAGAGCGCAGATCAGGCTGTGATAAGGGAGCCTGGCTGTAACTGGCAAACTTCCTAGCGAGGAGGGCGGCCTTGTCTGCACTGCTAGTCACTGGCTTGATCTGGTTGTCTTCCTGGAGGTCGGGGATAGCAGAGGTCGGGCGATTAATGTTGCAAAGGAGTTTCGCTTTTCGCCACCATGAGTAGGACCCACGGTGGTTTTGCAGGTCTCTGGCCATCTTTTCGTGGAAGTGGCGCTTGGCTTTGCGAATCGCAGAGTTGAGACGGTTGCGAGCAAGTCTGTACAAAGTTCAAACTTCCGTGGTTCCTTGACGCTTAGCCTTCGAAAAGAGACGGTCCCTACATTGCCGTTGCCGATGATGAGTGGCTGCGAACCAGGGTTTGTTCGTTGGGAACACTCGCCTCCGGATAACTGGCACGAACGAGAACACTGCGTCTTCCAACATGGTGCGCCAGAAAGACCAGGCATCGTCTACTGTTTGCGCATTTCGGATCGTATCTAGGAGGGGCAGCTTCCACAAGTGGTCGTTAAGTTCTTGCCAGTCAGTATGGGCGAAGTCAAGCCGAGTGGATAGACATGGAGACGAGGATTGAGGGTTTGGCGTTGCTGGGAGCTTAGGGACAGCGAAATCGAAAACAGCAGGACAGTGGTCAGACACGGGTGGGAGAATGGTGAGATGCGAGAGTTTAAACGGAACATTGGTTATAACTAAGTCAAGCAGAGAAGATGTATTGCCACCAGGAGAATAGCGGGTTGCCTGCAGGTCTACAACTTGGGATAGGCCAAGGTTATCAAGGGTGTCAG